GCTCTGTTCATGATTTCAGAGAGGGTAGCAGTGTTTAATCTCCGCTCCATTCGTGATTTCAGAGACGGTGGCAGTGTTTAAACCCCGCTCCTTTCATGATTTAGAGAGGGTGGCAGCGTTTAAACCCCACTCTGTTCGTGATTTCAGAGATGGTGGCAGTGTTTAAACCCCACTCCGTTCGTGATTTCAGAGACAGTGGCTGTGTTTACGCCCCGCTCCGTTCGTGATTTAGAGACGGTGGCAGTGTTTAAAACCTGCTCCGTTCCTTATTAAGAGGTGGTGGCAGCGTTTAAACTCCGCTCCTTTCGTGTTTTCAGAGAGGGTGGCAGTGTTTAAACTCCGCTCCTTTCGTGTTTTCAGAGAGGGTGGCAGTGTTTAAATCCCGCTACGTTCGTGATTTCAGAGAGGGTGGCAGTGTTTAAACCTCGCTCCTTTCGTTATTTAAAGAGGGTGGCAGTGTTTAAACCCCGCTCCGTTCGTGATTTCAGAGAGGGTGGCAGTGTTTAAACGCCGCTCCTTTCGTGATTTCAGAGAGGTTGGCAGTGTTTAAACTCTGATTTCATGATTCAGAGAGGGTGGCATTGTTTAAACCTTGTTCCGTTCGTGATTTCAGAGATGGTGGCAGTGTTTAATCCCTGCTCCGTTCGTGATTTAGAGATGGTGGCAGTGTTTAAACCTTGCTCCGTTCGTGATTTCAGAGACAGTGGCTGTGTTTACGCCCCGCTCCGTTCGTGATTTAGAGACGGTGGCAGTGTTTAAACCCTGCTCTGTTCGTGATTTCAGAGATAGTGGTAGTGTTTAAGCCCCGCTCCGTTCATGATTTAGAGAGGGTGGCAGTGTTTAAACCCCGCTCCGTTCGTGATTATAAATGGTGGCCCTGTTTAAACCCCGCTCTGTTCATGATTTCAGAGAGGGTAGCAGTGTTTAAACTCCGCTTCATTCGTGATTTCAGAGATGGTGGCAGTGTTTAAACCCTGCTCCGTTCGTGAATTAGAGATGGTGGCAGTGTTTAAACTCTGCTCTGTTCATTATTCAGAGAGGGTGGCATTGTTTAAACCCCGTTCCGTTCGTGATTTAGAGATGGTGGCAGTGTTTAAACCCCGCTCTGTTCGTGATTTCAGAGATGGTGGTAGTGTTTAAACGCCGCTCTGTTCATGATTCAGAGAGGGTGGCATTGTTTAAACCCCGCTCTTTTCATGATTCAGAGAGGGTGGCAGTGTTTAAACCCCGGTCCGTTTGTGTTTCAGAGAGGGTGACAGTGATTAAACGCCGCTCCATTCGTGATTCAGAGAGGGTGGCAGTGTTTAAACGCCGCTCCATTCGTGATTCAGAGAGGGTGGCAGTGTATAAACCCTGCTCCGTTCGGGATTTAGAGAGGGTGGCAGTGTTTAATCCCCGCTCCGTTCGTGATTTCAGAGACAGTGGCTGTGTTTACGCCCCGCTCCGTTCGTGATTTAGAGACGGTAGCAGTTTTTAAACCCCGCTCTGTTCGTGATTTCAGAGGTGGTGGCAGCGTTTAAACCCCGCTCCGTTCGTGTTTTCAGAGAGGGTGGCAGTGTTTAAACTCCGCTCCTTTCGTGTTTTCAGAGAGGGTGGCAGTGTTTAAACCCCGCTCCGTTCGTGATTTCAGAGAGGGTGGCAGTGTTTAAACCCCGCTCCTTTCGTGATTTAAAGAGGGTGGCAGTGTTTAAACCCCGCTCCGTTCGTGATTTCAGAGAGGGTGGCAGTGTTTAAACGCCGCTCCTTTCGTGATTTCAGAGAGGTTGGCAGTGTTTAAACTCTGATCTCATGATTCAGAGAGGGTGGCATTGTTTAAACCTTGTTCCGTTCGTGATTTCAGAGACGGTGGCAGTGTTTAATCCCTGCTCTGTTCGTGATGTCAGAGATAGTGGTAGTGTTTCAGCCCCGCTCCGTTCATGATTTAGAGAGGGTGGCAGTTTTTAAACCCCGCTCCGTTCGTGATTTAGAAATGGTGGCCCTGTTTAAACCCCGCTCTGTTCATGATTTCAGAGAGGGTAGCAGTGTTTAAACTCCGCTCCATTCGTGATTTCAGAGACGGTGGCAGTGTTTAAACCCGCTCCTTTCATGATTTAGAGAGGGTGGCAGCGTTTAAACCCCACTCTGTTCGGGATTTAGAGAGGGTGGCAGTGTTTAAACCCCGCTCTGTTCGTGATTTCAGAGATGGTGGCAGTGTTTAAACCCCGCTCCGTTCGTGATTTCAGAGACAGTGGCTGTGTTTACGCCCCGCTCCGTTCGTGATTTAGAGACGGTGGCAGTGTTTAAAACCTGCTCCGTTCCTTATTCAGAGGTGGTGGCAGCGTTTAAACTCCGCTCCTTTCGTGTTTTCAGAGAGGGTGGCAGTGTTTAAACTCCGCTCCTTTCGTGTTTGCAGAGAGGGTGGCAGTGTTTAAACCCCGCTCCGTTCGTGATTTCAGAGAGGGTGGCAGTGTTTAAACCCCGCTCCTTTCGTGATTTAAAGAGGGTGGCAGTGTTTAAACCCCGCTCCGTTCATGATTTCAGAGAGGGTGGCAGTGTTTATACGCCGCTCCTTTCGTGATTTCAGAGAGGTTGGCAGTGTTTAAACTCTGATCTCATGATTCAGAGAGGGTGGCATTGTTTAAACCTTGTTCCGTTCGTGATTTCAGAGACGGTGGCAGTGTTTAATCCCTGCTCCGTTCGTGATTTAGAGATGGTGGCAGTGTTTAAACCTTGCTCCGTTCGTGATTTCAGAGACAGTGGCTGTGTTTACGCCCCGCTCCGTTCGTGATTTAGAGACGGTGGCAGTGTTTAAACCCTGCTCTGTTCGTGATTTCAGAGATAGTGGTAGTGTTTAAGCCCCGCTCCGTTCATGATTTAGAGAGGGTGGCAGTGTTTAAACCCCGCTCCGTTCGTGATTTAGAAATGGTGGCCCCGCTCTGTTCATGATTTCAGAGAGGGTAGCAGTGTTTAAACTCCGCTTCATTCGTGATTTCAGAGATGGTGGCAGTGTTTAAACTCTGCTCTGTTCATGATTCAGAGAGGGTGGCATTGTTTAATCCCCGTTCCGTTCGTGATTTAGAGATGGTGGCAGTGTTTAAACCCCGCTCTGTTCGTGATTTCAGAGATGGTGGTAGTGTTTAAACGCCGCTCTGTTCATGATTCAGAGAGGGTGGCATTGTTTAAACCCCGCTCTTTTCATGATTCAGAGAGGGTGGCAGTGTTTAAACCCCGGTACGTTCGTGTTTCAGAGAGGGTGACAGTGATTAAACGCCGCTCCATTCGTGATTCAGAGAGGCTGGCAGTGTTTAAACGCTGCTCCATTCGTGATTCAGAGAGGGTGGCAGTGTATAAACCCCGCTCCGTTCGTGATTTAGAGAGGGTGACAGTGTTTAAACGCCGCTCTGTTCATGATTCAGAGAGGGTGGCCTTGTTTAAACCCCGATTTTTTCATGATTCAGAGAGGGTGGCAGTGTTTAAACACCGCTTTGTTCCTGATTTGAGAGAGGGTGGCAGTGTTTAAACCCCGCTCTGTTCGTGATTTTAGAGGGTGGCAGTGTTTAAACCCCGCTCCGTTCGTGTTTCAGAGAGGGTGGCAGTGTTTAAATGCCGCTCCATTCGTTATTCAGAGAGGGTGGCAGTGTTTAAACCCTGCTCCGTTCGTGATTCAGAGAGGGTGACAGTGATTAAACGCCGCTCCATTCCTGATTCAGAGAGGGTGGCAGTGTTTAAACCCTGCTCCGTTCGTGATTCAGAGAGGGTGACAGTGATTAAACGCCGCTCCATTCGTGATTCAGAGAGAGTGGCAGTGTTTAAACCCCGCTCCATTCGTGATTTCAGCGAGGGTGGCAGTGTTTAAACCCCGCTCCGTTCATGATTTAGAGACAGTGGCAGTGTTTAAACCTCGCTCCATTCGTGATTTAGAGATGGTGGCAGTGTTTAAACCCCTCTCCGTTCGTGATTTAGAGACAGTAGCAGTGTTTAAGCCCCGCTGTTCGTGATTGCAGAGACGGTGGCAGTGTTTAAACTCTGCTCTGTTCATGAATCAGAGAGGGCGACAGTGATTAAACTCTGCTCTGTTCTTGATTTCAGAGATGGTGGCAGTGTTTAAACGCTGCTCCGTTCGTGATTCAGAGATGGTGACAGTGTTTAAACCCTGCTCCGTTCGTGATTCAGAGATGGTGACAGTGTTTAAACCCTGCTCCGTTCGTGATTCAGAGAGGGTGACAGTGATTAAACGCCGCTCCATTCGTGATTCAGAGAGGGTGGCAGTGTTTAAACCCCGCTCCGTTCGTGATTTCAGCGAGGGTGGCAGTGTTTAAACCCCGCTCCATTCGTGATTTAGAGACAGTGGCAGTGTTTAAACCCCGCTCCATTCGTGATTTAGAGATGGTGGCAGTGTTTAAACCCCTCTCCGTGATTTAGAGACAGTAGCAGTGTTTAAGCCCCGCTGTTCGTGATTGCAGAGAGGGTGGCAGTGTTTAAACTCTGCTCTGTTCATGATTCAGAGAGGGTGACAGTGATTAAACTCTGCTCTGTTCTTGATTTCAGATATGGTGGCAGTGTTTAAACCCTGCTCCGTTCGTGATTCAGAGATGGTGACAGTGTTTAAACCCTGCTCCGTTCGTGATTCAGAGAGGGTGACAGTGATTAAACTCTGCTCCGTGATTCAGAGAGGGTGGCAGTGCTTAAACGCCGCTCTGTTCGTGACATTGGCAGTTTCTCTCTCTTGCTCGCGCTTCTCCCAATAACCGTCCGTACCTCTGAGTTTATTTTCCCCTTGGCCTTGAATACCTTGCAGAAAGTCGCTTAATAATCGTAATTTATGACTATATATTTCTTATGCCTATAACATCTTTGTGAATGTGACAACCTCATGCAGGGTAAATGACGAAAATTTTTGCAAAACAAACTCCTCGGTAGCTGCATCCAAAACATGGTAGAGATGTCGGAGGGTGGAGGGGTTGACATGATGGTGGTTTTGTGTTGGTGTTGTTGATGTTGACAGTGCGATTGTGTTGCAGGGAGGAGCGGGCGCGGTGGGTGGCGCCACCGTTGTTGCGTCGCTCGAGGTGCTGCTGGCTATGAGCGACGCGGAGGTGAGCGACGCCATGGCGGCCATGGGAGCCGAATATGAAGGGTGCGCTCGCCTGAATGCAGCTCTGGCCTGCTTACGTCTCGTGCAGAGCTACACAGGTACACAACAGCAGCAACGATAAACATCCACAACTACTGCCATATATACCACTACAGTGACGGCGATGTCCCGACAGCACTTTCACGTGGATCGGTCAATCTTTATGGAATTAATACAAAAGATTTGCTCCAATTGTGCCATTGGCATCGCGTGGCCAAGCGGCACGCTGCGTGAGTTGGAGAACGACTGAGGGAGAGGTTTCCCACAGTACTTCTCCAAGAAAACCAGGTCAAGGCTCTGGCACTCTCGCCTCACAGCGCTAAGCCCTCTGGGTTCAATCCCCGACCCGGGGATTGAACCCAGAACGACTGAGGGAGAGGTTTCCCACAGTACTTCTCCAAGAAAACCAGGTCAAGGCTCTGGCACTCTCGCCTCACAGCGCTAAGCCCTCTGGGTTCAATCCCCGACCCGGGCGCCTTTCTGTGTGGAGTTTGTATTCTGTCCCTCCTGTTCTGCGTAGGTTTCCTCCAGGCTCTCTGGTTTACTCCAATCACTAAAAAAACATATGCAATGCAAATCGTTTTGGCCAAAGCATCCCCATTCTGAAAACTTCTAAAATTACTCAAATCAGAATTACACACAGCAGCAGCATCGCCTCCCCCCCACTGCTAAAACTTGGCAGGACCCTCCCGAAAATATACTTAAGTCTCAGGGACGCTTTACTGGGTAATCAAGCGTGGAATGATAAATACAGTCGATCATCGATTATAATTATCCGACGGCTTCGGGGGGAGGGGGCTCCAGGAATTTCAAAAACGCCAGATAATTACCATTATTTTAAATAGATTATTTTTGTGCATTCTTGTATGACATGTTTTAGGTGTTGTATATATGGTTTTTAGTGTTAAAATTGTGTTTACTATATGAAGTTATCATAAATAAACATACATGTAGACAAAAATAAATATCCTGTAAAAAGTTACCCTATTTACTTTACCGTACTTACCACTCCAATCTCGAAGACTACATGGGGTGATGTATGTACTACTACGCTCTTGTTTCATCAACCATGTGTTGGACGATCACGTGTTTGACGATCGTTGGACTGATGTGAGCCTTTAGACCGGTGCTCCAGCGAATGCCGAATTACACGCACTTTTCGCCAGATCGCACTGCGTATATTTTCTGTTTTTATTACTGTAGTTATTTGTCATGCAAAACGTATACACGTGCAGTATTTTCATTGTTGAAGTTGTATGTAGTCTACAATGTACTCTCAAATATTTGACACTGAAATCAAGAATAGCGACTGTTTTTGTCATACACAAGATGCCGATCGCCAGATTGGTACAGCCCATGACCGCCAGATAATGTTGGAAGCCGAATAATCGTGTGCCAGATAATCGATGATCTCCTTTACAGGGACTTCTCAACTTACGAACATTCCACATACAAACTTTCAGAGATACGAACAAACCTGTCCGAATGTCCAGTTGCCTGTTCGGACCGAGAGTCGTAAGTTCAACCGCTGCGCAACAGATGATGGTGGTGGCGGCATCTACATCTGCAGAACGTGAAGAACCAGTTGCATCTTCTTTGGTTCTTTCGGTAAAGTCACGTAGAATGAGAATAAAATAATAAATTGATAAAATAAAATAACACAATAATATTCTCACGACGTTTCGGCCACAACACAAGCGGCCTTCATCAGGTGAAGGGACGAGACTGTCTGGTAGGACAACGCTGGAGTTGCATCTACAGGGTATTATAAATGTTTTAAAGCCATTCTCTGTGTTTAGTGTACATTCTGTACAACAGGAGTAAAGTTGGACTTCGACTTACAAACAGACCTCTAGAACCTAACTCGTTCGTAAGTAGAGGAGTCCCTGTACAGTCAATCCAAAAGACGCCTGGTGTTTTGAGAATTTGGTCTTGACTCTGTCGTTATAGCTGTGGCCACCAGGGGGCACTGTGGACCGCGGCCTCGGGATGCAATCTCAGCTTCCCGTTGGTGCTCCGCGTCCGGCGTCGTTCGTTGCCTCTGCCCAGGCAGCTGCCCGCGTCACTCAGACGCACTCAGTCAAGCACTTGGGTGACCCACACGGCCAAGATTGTAACCCCACGGGGGTTCTCGCCTCGCCTTCAGGGGGTTGGGGCTGGGGTGGCCACGCACATGCACAAGAGTGTTGTATTTTATTTATTTATCATCATGTTTGTTCACCCAGTTAAGCCTCGCTGAGTCTCAAGACTCTTTTCAAGAGGGTCCTGCCGAGTTTTTGGTGGTGACAGGGTGCGACGTCGCTCCGCGTAATGCCGGCGAGTGGTTACGCGCTGGGAGGGGACGTCGCCGCTCGTCGCGAGCTCGGAGGGGTGCTCTGAGCGCCACAACGGCCGTCTCGTTACGCAGATGGCGAGGTACCAGCCGACGAGGTGGTGATCCGGTGGCCGGACGAGGGGGACGCCGAGTCCCCCATGGGCATCGCCGTGACCCCCCCACCGCCGTCGCCGTCGCCCCCATCACGCTCCCGCCACGTACACAGCAACGGCACCATGCCCCTCTCTCCCGGTCAGAAACGTGCTCGCTTACTTGCTCGCTCACCCGCCCGCTCAACCGCCCGCTCAACCATTTGCGTACTCGCTCGCTCACTCGTTTATTTTGTTGGCTCCATCACGGATAAATTCACTCGCTCGCTCATTCAGCCACTGACTCGCGTGATGTCTCACATTCACTCACTCGCTCGCCCTCTGTTCTTGCCAGTACGCCAGGCCATCACGGGTACATTGGTTAGCACATTGGTCCTGCAATCCAGCGGTTCCGAGTTATTCAATTGTCAGGTCACGTGTGCTGCAGTAAAGTGTGGGTACGCCCACGTTTTACAAGATGTCTACCCAGCGTGGCAGAGTAGCCCAAATACACTCTAGAAAGGCTCTCAAGAACTTCCTCTAGTGGAAGCCCTTCTGCCAGTAGCAGTGTGAGCAAGCACTTACCAAGCTGTGCCTGTTGGATGTGGGTCGGTAGTACACAGACACGGCGTTGTCCTCGCACACAGGCCAGGATGCTCTGTGGATCTAAGTTGGGTAGACTGATAAGTCAGGGGTGGCGATGTGGTGGCGTTATGTTGACTACCTCACCTGGTATACAGGAGGTTGTGGGTTCGATTCCGACCCTGACGCCTGCTGTATATTTGGAGTATGCGTCTCTCTCCCCGTGGTCACATGAATTTTTCTCTGGGTCCTCCGGTTTTCCCCTCTACATTTAGAAACGCGCGTTTAGAGTATTTGGCTGCCGTAAATTTCTACGTGAAAAGCCACTTCATAGAGCTATCATTTTTGATAGCCGGGTCGCTTCTGAAAAAGAGCTTCGTAGCTCAGTGGGGCCTTACCTGGTAAAATAACAAGTTTTTAGTTTTAAGTGACGGCAAACCGTCCCCCCACGGTGTGTCGGTGTCTTGCCGTGAGGTCGTGGTGAACCTCGCGGCAGGGACAGGAGTCATGCGGATGTCCGTGCGCTCCCCCCCCCCCTCTCTCTGCAAGGTCAGTGGCCCGGACCCCACGGCGCCGCCGGCTTTGTCGGCCGGTTTAATGGGCGCATTGTCGCGGGCCTTGAAGGCTCAGTGACGTCGTCTGTCACGGCGCGGATGACTTCCCCCGCGGTTTGGCTCACGACCCATGGCGCTGCAGTGGAGTGCTGCAATGCTGCCCGACGGGTGACTGATTTGGTGGCGGCCAATGGAAAGGAACGAATCCTGGAATTTTGATTCCTCCCTTTTGGTGTGCGGTCCGGCGTGGAGGCAAATGCGCAGCCCCGCAATGGCTGTCACGCGCCACTGCTGGCGGAAGGGCCGCCGCCAGGGGGAGCTCTGGGGGAGCCTCCATCACGAACGGCCCTGGTCGCCGCTGCGCTCGCCGTGGCGCACGGCCTCCGTGGGTGGTCGGTGTGCCGTGCGTTTAGACGCTTCTAAAGCGCTCCGTTGGCATTGAAACGGCATTTAGAGTCATTTGGCTGCTGCTATAAATTTCCATGTGATGCGCCACTTCATTGAGCCATAATTTGTGACCATTTGCTTCTGAAAAAGAGCTATACAGCTCAGTGGGGCCTTGCCTGATGAAATAAGAATAGTTTAGTTTACTTTATTTAAACACCCCACTATGCATCCCTGTAATTCCAGACGTGCACCTCTACAGTCCTCTTTGCGCACCTTCCACCATTGTCGATTTGTTTGTTCCGGTGCATGTTTCTCTTCTGGTGCATGTTTCTCTTCTGGTGCATGTTTCTGATCCGACGGTCATGGGAGGTAATAACAGCAACGATTTAGCACAATTGGTATTCGCGCCATTCTTACAGCACAAGGATATCATCACGAATACACTGCTGTGTTGAACACAGTCTGAGGTAGTTTCACAGTCGAGGATGATGTTGCTGTGTGTCAACCAACTTGATAACTTTGTGGTGCAATTAAAAACAAAAACAGATTTAGACCTTGACACCAGCAAAAAGTGGCCTGCTCTCTTCGGATAACATCACGGGATCTTTAACTTCCACTGTGGACCGCACGACGTGTGGTATTTCAGGATTGAGTCACCTGCCCACGTGAAAACGTCTTCAGGCAATTTGGTACTACTCACTGCTTCCATCGTTAAGTGCGGCTCTGCGAAGAGCACTTGAACCGGCCGTGACCCGTCACTCGTGCTGACGGTGACGTATCTGGGACACGCCGCCGCGTCCCGGCGGAGCGCAGTGAGCGACGCTTGAGTCGACGGGGAGTCCGTCCCCGGCGCCCGCTCGGGGCTTCCACTGGACGCGGGTGCCACTCCGCGGCTCATTTGCACAGCGAATGAGCCATTAACCGCAGCGGGGGATGGAATATTTGCCTGGCCGTGTCGCAGCCACGTCTCCCGTGCGAGTGCGGCAGAGACGCGGCGACATAAATGGGGGCCGCGAACGTGACAAACTAGGGGGGGAGGAGGGCGGCAGCGCAGAGGTGACACCCTTACCTCGCAGCATTAAGTACCTGGGTTTGATTCTCAACCTCGGCGCCTTTCTGTGTGGAGTTTGTATGTTCTCCCCCTGTTCTATATGGGTTTCCTCCGGGTTCTCTAGTTTCCTTCAATAACTAAAAAAAACATACTCAATATAGCTGGATTTGCCCAAAGCATCCCGATGCTGAACGTTTTCCTGCATATTACTCAATAGGGAGCACACACACAGCAGCAGCAACAACATCGCCCCCCTGTTGTGAACACTTGGCAGGACCCTGCTTAAAAAGAAAAATAGGTAAATGAACATCACAATAATAATAATAACTTATCTCCATTGATTGCCCTGAGCTAGTGCTTAAAATTCCGAATGGTGATAGGCCGAATGGGTTCCCTCACCGGGATCTGAACTTGCAACATTACGGCTGTGCCGTCGCGTACCCCCACCGCCCGCCCGGCCGAGTATAGTCAGGTACATAGAGCACGTCTAGCGTGGAGATGGAGCGATGAAATCGGCCCGTGTGACCAGTGCGGCGAATGTAAAATTTGTACACTCGGCTGAGAAATCAAATTTGATCCCACTCAGCCTCACGCTGGCCTCATCCACTTTGAAGGAACGGACCCTAAATTATTTAATCGGTCACTCTCAGTCAACGACTTGGCAGCTTGTGAATGATTAAGCAGCAGGTGAAAATTATCAGTCGTTTAGAAATCAAATCATTAATTTAGTTGACTGTCGTCCGGAGAATGTGCACATCAACTTACCTCTTAATTCACTTGTTCCTTGCATTAATTTATGTGGTGATTGAATTCGACTAATTTAGATTGCTGTTTTGAACTATAATTGGATGTATGTAAACCACTAAACTATAAACTTTTTTTTATTTTACCAGGTAAGGCCCACTGAGCTATATAGCTTTTTGTCAGAAGCGACCTGACCACAAATGTTAGCTCAATGAAGTGGCTTATCGTGTGAAATTTATAGCAGCCAAATACTCTAAACGCATGTGAGGGAAAAACCAGAGGACCCAGAGAAAATTCCATGTGACCACAGGGAGAGAAACAAGCAAACTCCAAATATACAGGCATCAGCGTGGTGGATCGAACCCACGACCCCTGTATACCAGGCGAGGTAGTTAACATCTTGCCACTGGCTGGTATTGAGAACCACTCCGTTAAAAGGAGACCGTGGTCGGCCTACTGGCAGGCTAATGCCAACATGCGAGCTGGTGCTGTGTGTACCGTGTTCCACGCAGTGACAGCTGCCACTGGGCGTCCTCTCTGCTAGATCGCAGCAGGGCATTGGGAGGGTTGAGAAGCGATGAGGTGCAAGGCGATTTGAGTCGCTGAGGCTTAGTAAGCGAGTGCTCTCTGCTGCAAATCCTCCGTCCTCGTGGAAAGGCGACGTGCGCTGCTGCCCTGCCGCCTCTGACCCTGAGGTATTGAGTCCGGACGTCCTACTCACGCAGCCCGTGATCGGTTTCTGAAATCCCGGCCGCCACCCCCCAGAGTCGTGCGACGCCGTGCGGATGCTGGGCCTGGCCAAGGCTGCCGGCGACGCCGCGAAGGGCTCGCGCTCACTGCCCTCCTCCCCGGACCTGGGCCGGCGCGGCATCGGCAACGCAGGCGCCGCCGGAGCGGCCACACGGCGTGGCCCCCGGCCATCCACCGGCGGCGCGAGCAGCGGCAACGTCGGCGGCGTAAATGCCGGCACCAGCAGCACAAGCATGGTCGGCAGCATCAGCGGCAGCAACAACCCCAAGGTCCAATCGGCCGTCACGCCCCCGGCCTCCCGGAGGGCGGCGCTGCCCGCCGCCACGTCAAAGCACCAGCGGAGGCTGGGCTCCGGCTCGGGCTCGGGGCTGGGCCTGGGCGCGCTGGCGCTGTTGCCCAGCCTGCCCACCATCAGCCGCAGCAAGTCGCACGAGTCGCAGCTGCACAACCGCGTGGACGAGCCTCCGGTTACACCCAAGTGAGTGCCGGCCACAACCCCCCCACCTCCTCCCCCCCGCACTCCTCGCCCCCCACCCCTCCCCTGCCTCCCGCCGGATGTGTTAGCTGGTGTGTTGGACAGGTAGTGCATTGCGTTGTCGCTTGCTCAGTGCCACTTTAAGATATTTATTTGAACTCTGTGACCCTGGGACTCGTTGCCCGCTTGAGGTACGAGCCTCCTGCCCGAGCCTTGCCCCTAGGAGGGCACAGGAGGTGGGGGGGGAGTGGGGTTACTCCGGGTTGTTGGAGGGGAATCCTCTCGGGCAGGAATCTCAATCTCTGGTTCTCGCCACCCCACAGTGTCCAATGTACACTGCACGCACCTGATGATTAGTGATCATGGGAATCTGCACCGCGGGGGGATCGGAAGGGACAGGAGTTGAGGAACCCTGTCCTGGGTGTCTCGCGCCGAGCCCAGCTGGGGCTGCCACCTCTCCGCGGTGGACCCGGATGGGACTGGTGGCTGGAATGCCTGACCAGTGGCCATCCGGATTATTTGCTTGGGCATTGGTTGTCCCGTGGCCTCTGCCAGGGGAATGGGTAGAGCCGTGGCCAATGGAGACGACCTCCCCCGTTGGTGGTCGTGTGAGCGCAGGGGCCGTTTCACGTTGAACGACGCCGCAGTCCAGTGCAACCACCAGGGCTCAGGCCCATTGTCTCGGTTCCGCTAAACTGGAATGGGCAACCCAGGCTGCAACCGTACCCACAACCACCTGGGACACATACTCGGTTCCTGCTGCCCACACGGTCCTCGCCTTTTACCAAATCGACCGCAGTGCACTTGAAGTCGTCAGGATTCAGATGCTCAAACTAAATACTATTCCAAACGAAACTTTTAATTTTATCAGGCAAGGCCTACTGAGCTATTAGTTATTTTTTTGAAGCGACCTGGCCCCAAATGATAGCTCAACGAAGTGGCTTATCATGTAAAAAAAATTATCAGCCAAATAATTCCGAAGCGACCTGGCCACAGATTGAAAACGAATTTCTTTAGAACTGCATTTTGTGTTTAGTTTGTTGTCCTTCCTCTGCACCTCCGATTAGCACGGTTGGTGCGAAAGAAGTAAAAAATACTTACATAAAGGCGTGTTTCTAAATGTGGATGGAAAAACCTGAGGACTAAGCAGGCGTGAGCCTGGATAATGCTTGGATGGGGCGACCGCCAATGCGTAACAGGTATTATAGGCTGCTGCGGAGCTACGTCATGAGCTACGGCAAGCACGATTGGGGTCGCTGACGTCGGCACTGGAGAGAGACAAAGGCGGCCGGGCGCACCGTACTCCTCCCGAGTGCGCCGCCGTTGGCGAGTGAGCGAGCGTTCATTAACGGCGCGTGCCCGCGGGCATCTGCCACGGGGCTAAATGGCGGCCGTTTGATCTCTGCTTTGAATCGGTAATTTAATTTAGGAGCGTCTCATTAGGCGGGGCGAGGGGCGCGGAGGTCCCATGGTGCTCCACGACCCAGCGCGCTCGTTAGCAGCGCCGTTCTGCCCCGTTACCTCCCCCCACCACCACCACTACAATGCGCTACCAACTCAGTGACTTGAGCTCATGACCAACATCACTGGCGAATATCTGGGCCTCTCCTAGGTCGACACAGCCTCAAAATAAGTAGCTGGCATAGTGTTAAAAAGTCAGCAATCGGGAAACAAAGGTGCCCTGGTGTGATGCTGGCCACCCACCCTATGCCATTCTGGCCTTCATAGATGCTTGGTAACAGCACTTGCCCGAACAGCCCGTGTGGGCTACACGGGGGATTTGGTGGCGTGTCGCGCACGCCGAGCAGTGAGCGGAAGCGGCGAGCGGTGGTATCGCCACCTCGACGTCCACGCTGTTGGTGTTGAGGGGCGGTCATTGGGTAGTGGAGCACCCTCGCCCCCCCCCTGCCCCCCCACCCTCCCCCGCCCCCTCCACCACCTCGGCCCCCTCGGCTCCCTAGGCCCCCTCGGCTCCCTCGGTCCCCTCCGCCCCATCCGCCCCCTCGGCCCCCTCTGCCATCCTGCGAGTAATTGGAGCGCGGAGCGCGACGAGCGACCTTTAAATGGGGCGGGAGGGGGAGACGTTGAATGTGATGAAAGCAGAAATAAATGTGTCGTGCTGTACAAGGCTGTTCTTAGTGCGAGGGCACGTTAATTGATGTGCATCTGCTCGGGATTTGAACAAATAGTCGCTGCTGCCATGGCTACCATTGCCGTGAACTTCACTCTTCGATTCCTCCACCCGTGCTGGGGACTGTCAGACGCGTTCCTGGCATCCACCCTGCGTGCAACCACCACCACCACCGCCGCCCTGCAGCTTGCAGCATTCTCATTCTGCTTCTTACCTCCCACTGGTCTGCTCTGGAATTCCTCTCTTCTCCCTCTGTCTCCCCAAGTTCCTTGTCATAACGTCAGGAGTCATTCATTATTAGCTCTCAAGTCTTCAAAAGTGCCGTTGGTTGCCGTCCACTTGAAATTTTCTTCTGGGCCTGACCTCAGCAACCGTGGTTGATCAAAGACGAGTCGGCCTGTCGCCACATCTTGCGCCACTAGATGTCTGCTGCTGCTTGTGTTTGATTCTGTGCTTCTATTATCAGAATCAGAAGTTACAACAACACACAAACCAAAAACAGCTTGCAGTGCAAAGTATAGGATAGGTAAACAAATCACTCAAATAAAATATATCTTATTATTATTTTACCAGGTAAAGCCCACTGAGCTATGAGCTTCTTTTCTTGGAGCAACTTGGCTACAAATGATAGCTCAACGAAGTGGCTTAACATGTGGAGATATATAGCAGGCACACAATCTCAATAATAATTACCTTCACTTAACAGGGAAGTTCATCCTTTGCAGGCCCCGCCCTTTTCTTCTTTAGTCCCTGCCTCCTTCCTCTGTCGGTCCCCAGCTGCCTTACCGCTTACGCGCCACCCCTTTCTGATGAGGAGATGCAAACTCAGAACTTTGCGATTGCGAGTCGATCGCTGAGTCAGAACCTCCTCCACGCGGCTGCTGGCTGTTCTTTGTGTGAGACTCGCCAGAAACAGTGTGGTGAGAGAGAAATGTCCTGGTGGGGAATATTTACCCTGCAGGATAATCTCTTGACGCTGTCTAAACAGGAGATGCACGTGAGTGGGTGTGCACGCGTGCGCGTTTGGGATATTTGTGCCGGTGTTGAGGTGGCAGGGTCATGTCGGGGTCACGCCCTGCATTGCAATATCATCGACCCGACTGCTGCCCCGGTACACGACCCCTGTTGGTGTTTGGGCGTCTGAACCTACATAATAATCATAGAAATGATATTCTTTGGGTCTTTCGGTAAAGTCATGTAGATACCGAAAGACCCAAATAATTTAAATTGCTGCAGTAACGTAAGCTTTAAGTCAAGACATATCAATTACGTAGTAGATTTGGTATTTGCTATCGCGAAGAAAGGTGGCGCTGTGATTCATTAAGTCTGCTGTGGTTTCGCATTAGGGGAGCGACGATTCTGTGCCTGTAATCCCGGTTGAGTAATTTACAGGGAATATTTCAGCATTGGAATATTTTTCAATGGGAGGAAACCTGAGAACCCGGGAGGAAACCCGTGCAGAATAGAGGCACCCAAGTTGGGAATCGAACCCGGGTGCTGCCACCTCCTAGCCGCACGATTACATTCATGCGCAACTTGTGACATTGACTACAGATTTTGCGGTGACTAAACCTCGCAACACACAAAAGAATTCCACTTCGAAAAATACAACGCGCAGGACACGCACGCAACGTGACAGACAATTGACCGCCACCGTTTTTGGAAAACTCAGCAATTTCCGTAGAGCACTCGAAGGCAGAAGCGAGGTACTTGTGATGGGCCAGAGGAGAGAGACACTCAGCGTTTGTTTTGTTTGGTCCCAAACTCGAGTGGAAGCATCCACGAGCAGCATTCTTGATTGCGACCTTTCCCGTGAGACGCTCCCCACCGGGCAGTCACTCGCTGCCCGACGGAGAGCGCTGGGTGTGCTCGGAGTGTGCATTATTAGTGGTTAATTATCAGTTTTCCGCAGGGCACGGAGTTACGCGCGAGTGGCTGGGCACTTTGGTCAGCGGATGGGTCTGTGTACGTTAGTGTGTGCGGGTTGGTCCATGTTGTTAGGTGTGGGTGGGTTTGTGCGCGTGGGTGTGTGAGGGTGGGTGGTTCTAGGTGCCTGTGGGTGTGAGTGGTTCGGTGTGGATGTGTGGGTGTGTACATGTCGGTGTGTGGGTGGGTGTGTGGGAGTGGTAGGGTAGTGGTTAGTGTGCTGCGCTACGAACCTGGCGACCCGAGTTCGATTCCCGCTCATGGCCATCATCGGTGACGATTATCTGAACCAGTCCTGAGCCTCCCCTAGGTCGACTCAGCCTCACATGAGTACCTGGGGTGTGGGTGTGTAGGTGTCGGTGTGTAGGTGTCGGTGTGTGGGTGTGTAGGTGTGGGTGTGGGTGGTTCAGTGTGGGGTAGTTTACGTTTGTTGTAATTCAACGTGAGTTGGTGACTACAGGTGCGATGCTCAGAGCCACTCCTGATTTGCAGCAGTGATGATCTATGTCGCAGCCTCATTAAATGAAGAAGACGTTGTGGAGGCACCTCCTCGTCTGCCACCTCCTCCCCCCCACCACTCCTCCACCTCTTCCGCTAGATGCTCGGCCAGAGTGCCGGATCGGCGGTGAGCTTAGGCTCTCGGAAACTTTTACCTTGTCAAATGCACAAATCTCAGATCAGATCTCAGAAGTTAAGCAGAATTTAGGCCTGGATAATAAATTGGACGGGCTACCGCCACAGCCGGTTGCTATATGCTGCTGGTGCCGCTGCTTCAGGGCTCCGTTGCGGGCAGAAGAGCGCAGTGCAGCACGATCCACTCTGCCACGTCCAGGCTCCCCCGCCTTCAGCGTCCCGGACTGACCGGTGTGTCGAAGTATGGCCAAACGGCCCCTATGGCCCGCACGGAGTGAGAAGACCATCACCCAGCAGTGGATTGACAAAAAGAGATGCGCTCGGACAACCGTGTCACTCATTGAGCCGGGTTCTGTATCCATGATGGCAGAGTGGCGAGACTGGCAGAGTGGTAGCCGGGAGGTGCAGTGGGGACGACGGCCTTCCAACAAGGGCCTGGGTTTTATTCCTGACCCTGAGTCGAGTTGTTGGGTTTCCTCCAGGTTCTCTGGATTACTCCTAAAGCGAAAAAACATTTACAACGTAACTGGCATTGGCCATACATCTCAATAACTTGCAAATTACTCGATTGAGATTTATATGACCTTGCTTCACCACGGTAGTCAGTGTGAGTTGGTAAAAACAAGGATCGTCGTAGTGCAGTAGAGCAATGGATTTTGCTATACTTCCTTCTGATAAACAGTCAAGAACTGTTCATAATGAGAATCTTTACTTATCCTGGAGAAATCCGATGAGCTCTGAAGCTCTTTTTCACTGTTGTCCAGTAACTGTTAACTAATCGATGGATGTGTTTAATCATGAATTTGAATTGACTCCGGGTGCTGTAGTTAATTATCGACAGCGTGGATGGAATGTTGGGACGGCTCCAGCTCGTGGGCTCGTAGGCGGCTCCAACTCCGCGTGAAGGACCAGATGAGTGAGGCGCAGTCAGACAGTGAAGAGCGCTGACTCAGAGCGGCCCTCTTGGGGAAAAACCGTACCCTCTCCTTCGCGCCGTCTTTGCAAGTCCTCCTCTGTCGGCCTCTCACTCCCTGCCTCTCCACCCGACGAGGGCCCTGTTGAGCTCTCCTCTGCGAGTTGTGTTTTGTCCCACCGTGACGCACCGGCCGCTCGCCACCGTGGCGCCCCCTCGTAGCCTTAATAGAGATGTTACCTACCTCGCCTGGTATACAGGAGATCGTGGGTTCGATCCTAACCATGACGCCTGTTGTATATTTGGAGTTTGCGACTCTCACTGTGGTCACGTGGATTTTGCTCAGGTCCTCCGGTTTTTCTCTCCACATTTCGAATCAACATCATGCGTTTATTTGCCTGCTGCTATACATTTCCACGTGACAAGCCACTTCGTTGAGCTATCATTTGTGGCCAGGTCGCTTCTCAAAAAGAGCTATATATATATAGCTCAGTTGCCCTTACACCTGGTAAAATAAAAAATAGTTTGGTTTTATAGTTTTAGTTGAGTGTTCAGACGTTCGTCTCGAGGCCACCGAGTGAGCCAGCGGACAGCTTCAGGAGGAGCCCGGTGAACATCTGGAGCGCTGCCACCAGCGAGCGATGGAAGCGGGCAGTGACGTTACCGTGCAGCCTTTTTTAGGTTATAGACCCTGCGTGGAGATTCAGAAACGCACGGAGAGACCCTTGGGTGCTCCATAAGAATTGTACGCACGCAGCAGCCTACGTCACAGTAAGTGGATGTTAGGGATCCCTGTGACGTCATTCACAGGCGTAGGCCCTCGTGTGTCCCGGCAGCAGGGTCCAAAGTTGCCAAGTGCATAAAATAACAACCGCAGTTTATACTAAAATAGGTTGACACAACCACGTCACCCCCTACTGTGATGCTACAGCAGACCATGTCACACACATCAGGGATAGCCTGAGCCATAAGAATGAGAGCCATGAGAGTGTGAGCCATGAAGAGTAATAACCATGAGAATGAGAGCTGTGAGAGTGTGAGCCATGAAGAGTAATAACCATGAGAATGAGAGCTGTGAGCCATGAGAATGAGAGCCATGAGAGTGTGAGCCATGAAGAGTAATAACCATGAGAATGAGAGCTGTGAGCCATGAGAATGAGAGCCATGAATGAACCCCGAGCCATAAGAATGAGAGCCATGAGAATACAGTTCCAAATGTTCTACATTATCACTACATATTCTTGGTGCTTTCGGTAAAGTCACGTAGAAGGGAAACAATAAAATAATAAAAATATAAAACAATAATGATTGTTTTATATTTTGTTTATTATTATTTTATAGTTTCCCTTCTACGTGACTTTACCGAAAGAACCAAGAATATGAATCCCTGCAGTCACGAAAGCTTTAAATCAAAATTATCACTACGCTTCGTATTCTTATCTCGTAAGCTGCTCGCGTCCGTCTCACCCGTGCCGTTCCCTCCATCTGTGCCGACCCCCCCCCCACTTTACCCCCTTGCTCAATTAGGTCGCCCAAGAAGCGCCCTCCGCTACTGAACCTGCTGCTGGGGGGCAGTGCCGTGAGCTGCGAGAGCCTCCCCCAGCAGCAGCAGCAGCGGTCACCCCTCTCCGGGGGTCACCGGGCATCCGACCCAGCCCTCGCCACAGCCTCACCACCCGGCGCTCACATTCACCCCTCCCCCTCCTCCGCGGGTCAGAGTGCACCCCACTCGCTTATGCAGTCACTCACTCATTCACTCGCTCGCTCACACTCTTTGTTCACTCACTGATCCACCCACCACCCACTTGGCAGCATCATTCAATTGTTGGCTGTCTACCCACTCACACACCCACCCACTGACTGCCTCACCTACACACCCACAACAACAACAACCGCCATTTGCCACTAAGTGGCGGTGACGTCACCACGATGCTTGTGCCAGGCCATGTGCACTCACACACCTACACACGCACTCACACACCTACCCACTCACTGCCTCACCTACCCACACACCCACTCGCACACCTAGACACCCACTCACTCGCACACCTAGACACCCACTCACTCGCACACCTAGACACCCACTCACTCACACACCTAGACACCCACTCACTCGCACACCTACACACCCACCCACTCGCACACCTACACACACACTCACACACCTACCCACACACTCACACACCTACCCACTCACTGCCTCACCTACCCACACACTCGCACACTTACACACCCACTTGCACACCTACACACGCACTCATACACCAATCTACTCACTGCCTCACCCTACCCACTCACTCGCACACCTAGACACCCACTTACACACCTACACACCCACTCGCACACCTAGACACCCACTTACACACCTACACACCCACTCGCACACCTACACACCCACTTACACACCTACACACCCACTCACACACTTACCCACTCACTTCCACACCTACCCACCCACTGCCTCGGCTACCCACCCACTCACACACCTACCCACCCACTTACACACCTATGTACTCACTGTCTCACCCACCCATGCACTCACACACCTACCCACCCAGTTAGTCATCACCACTTCCTTACATGCTTTCCCAATCAATAGTTCACTCACTCACTTACCCACTCACCAACCAACCCACTCACCCACCCACATGGCCGCCCCTCACTGATTTACAGGAGGGGGGTGCTGGGTTAATTGTTAATTGACATTTCAGCTCTGCCAGGGCACCGCCGGCACTCATCGCCATCTCCACATAGATTGAAGGGGCCTCGCTTGGGCGGCTTTTGATAAACAAGCCGTGGAGGGGAGCAATGCGATTAAATTAAATCCACACCGCATCGAGGGAAGCGATAATGAACACGAATAGGTCACAGCCGGGGTTGTGATTGACTTGGCAAACTCGGGCTTGTAGAAACGCTGCGACGTTTGGCCCATTATTTCCAGCTTCAACAATGTTTTGTTTTAATCCCCTATTGTCCCAAAGTTAACTCCCGGTGTTTGATTGGCGGTGCTCACAGAAGACATTTGGAAATTGAGGCCGGGATAGGGTAAGCAACTTGGAGGTTTGAAATGGACCGAGGCTGGCGCGGGTTGTGGTCGCAGTCATCTGTCGGCCACACGAGGGCCCCTGGGTTCTGGCCGCGCATCAAGCGTTCTTCCCTTACGCTCTCCTCACGCATTATTGGCAGCGGCGTTTGAAAGCTTGAGGGAGGAAACGGTCGCCCCGTGGCCTTGGCGCCGCCTGGCTGCTCGCCCTGCTGCTGCCCTCTTACGCCCTGTTATGCATGCATGTGTCTTTGTATTGTGCGTGTGTCTACTGTGTGTGTCTAGTGTGTGCCTGTCTCTGTGTATGTCTAGTGTGTGTCTGTGTGTGTGTAGCGTGGGTCCGGCAAAAACAACCCCTTACCTCCTCGTTGGTGCCGGACAGCAACGCTGTGGTGAGCAGTGCCGGCACTGCTCAATTTAGAGTGGCCATTCCCCTCATGGTGTTTGTAGCCACCACAGCGGCCAAATGGGGGCTCTGGACGGTTGCGAGGGGCTGGTAACCCCTCCATCTTCAATTGTTTACCACTAAACCACGCGAAAAATATGCAACAAAGCTTGTGCCGGAGGTCCCAGAGGGACACGTTCCCTGACGTCTCCTGGCTCCAGAAACAGCAAAAAAACCACTGTGGGTGGCCACGTGGAACGCTCACTGCAGAGGAAAGGCTGCCACTCCTCTGTCGGGAGCTACACCGGTACCGCCTGAATCTCTGTGATATTCAGGAAGTCCGGTGAACTGGCTCTGGCTCTTGCCACCATGAGGAGTGGATAGTCCTCGACTCAGAGCAGGAGACTGCCAAACAATAGGGAGTGGCTCTTCTTCTGAACAAAATAATGAAGGGGGCGTGGGAGCATGACGGTGAGGTGTGGGAAGCTGTAATCTCCAGGCTACTTTGGGCTCACCTTTCCATCAACCAGAGGCGAGGAAAGGTGGTCATGGTTACTTATGCTCTCACTGAAGACGAACATCCGATGAGTCAGATGCCTTCTATGACCTCCTGTCACAGGTGCTAGCTAAAGTGGCCCCTCGGGATAGAGTCATCCTGTTGGGTGACTTTAATGCTCGAGTTGGTCATGATGCTGGCATCTGGTCTAGAGTAATTGGAAGGCATGGGCCAGATCAGCTCAATAACAACGGTAGGAGGCTGCTAGATTTTTGTGCAGCCCATGGGCTTGTAATTACCAACACGCTGTTCCGGCATCGACGCATCCACACAACATCATGGATGCATGCCGGGTCCAAGCACGAACATCTGCTGGACTGCATAGTGATGGAACAACAGATGCGAGCCCATGTCCTTGACACCAGGACCGACCGTGGAGCTGATCTGCCCACTGACCTTCGACTTGTCATCTGTAAGATGCGCCTGCCATTCTTCCACTCCAGTTGTGGGTGTACACCCAGGACCCCATTCAAACCCATAGTGGCCTGGTCTCAGCTAGCTGATGAAAGTTGCAAGCGAGAATTTCATCATCGCTTGCAGCTGGGGTTGGCATCATCCCCCACTCCACCTGGTGTCTAGGGGAAATGGGCGAGGTTTAGGACTGTGCCTCATGCAGCTGCAATGGCTGCGTTGGGTACATGGTCCAGATCTCCCCAGAGACTCCCTGGCTGACAGAGGAGGTGTTCAGGCTGACTGAAAAAAACAACACGCCCACTCCTATCGTCTACAGCATCCCACGTCAGAGAATGAGGAGGCTTACCGCAGCCTTCGCTCGGAGGTTCGGAGAGCCATGAGGCGCTGCAAGGATGGGTGGTGGTCGCGGGTTGCTGATGAGATGGAATCTGCCTCTGGCCCGCGATCACAAATTGCTCTTTAATTCCATCAAAAAAGTAACTTGCAGCGCCACACCTATTGCCATAATTAGGCGAAAGAATGGTGATCCAATCTCCAACCCCCAGGAACAGGTTTGCAGATTTGCTGAGCATTTCTGTGAGGTCCTGGGGGAGGAGAAATCCCTCAGCGTGGAAAATATAATGGGGCAAAGTGGGGATGACCTTGCTGAGGCTGCGGTGCCTAAAATATTGGAGGAAGAAGTCACCCCCTGTGAGTGGCTGGCTGAGGTACCATCCGTTGAGGAAGTACTGAAGACGATCCAAAGTCTGAGACCAGGAAGGGCACCGGGCAGAGATGATCTCCCAAGCCAAATGCTGAGGGAGGGTGGCGTTTGTGCACAGACTGCCCTACATGACATCATAACAACAGTCTGGACCACTCTACGGGTTCCGCAGGATTGGAAGGATGCCCTGGTGGTCCCCCTCTTTAAGAAGGGGGACCGCACAGACTGTAACAACTACAGGGGCATCTCACTCCTCAGTGTGCCGGGAAAGGTCCTGGTAAGGATTATTCAACATCGCCTTGCCAGGCACGCTGAGGAAAGACTTTTGGAGCCCCAATGCGGTTTCAGGAAAGGGCGGTCGTGCACAGATGCCATATTTTCTGTCTGTCTGCTACAGCAGAGATGTAGGGAATTCTAACAAGACTTACATCTCTGGTTTATTGACCTGGTCAAGGCCTATAATACCATCAGTAGGCCTGGGCTCTGGGTTTTTCTTCGTGCTTTCGGAGTCCCTGACCCTCTGCTCATGCTCATTAAGGACCTTCATGATGGCCCGGGTAAAACTACGTGGCCGGGAGTCAGAGCCATTCCCTGTACACCTTGGGGTGCGACAGGGATGTCCTCTGGCTCCAACATTATTTAACATCAATTTCAACCACTTAGCTCGTGAAGTCTTCGATTGCTGGTACAGCTACAATAGAAGGCTGATCGATGCCCGGGTGCGGTCAAGGGATGACTCCCTATTGGTCAACCATGTTACGTATGCTGATGATCTGGTAATTGCTGCTCACTCAGAGGAAGCGCTGCTGTTGAACCTGGAGCGTGTCACTAAGAGGTGGGGCCTTACCTTCAGCCCCATCAAAACTAAGCATCTGCCTCGGTATTTTGTACCATCGGACACTTCACCCCCACAACTCCCAATTGGTGATGGGGCATTTTTGGAGAGAGTGGAGCGCTTCCCATACCTGGGCAGTGTGCTCATGAGTGGCTCCGGTTTACAGCATAGGTCTCACTCTGAATCAATGGAGCGGCATTATCTTTTCATCGGTTGCGTAACGCTGCATGGAAGATACCTGGTCTGTCACTCCACACGCAGCTTCAGGTCTTCTCGGCCACAGTCATGCCCTCCCTTCTCTACACTTGCGAAACGTGGACCCCCCTAATGGAACAGCTTCGCCGGTTAGAAACATTTAGGCTGGCCTGCCTACGATCCATCCTGGTTTTAACCAGGTTGGATTGTGTGAGGAGCTCACAAATTCTTGAAAGATCTGGACAAAGTCCCATCGGTGAGCTCCTCCGGCAGGCAAGGCTGCGTTGGCTGGGTCATGTAGCCCGCATGCCCAGCCACCGCATGCCGAAACAGCTTTTGTTCGGTCGGATCGAGGGTGCTCAACGGGCGCTACACTGGCTAGAGAAGAGATGGAGTGATGTGGTACAGGAGGACGTGGAGCTGAGTGGACTTGCCAATGACTGGTACCAGCGGTGTCAAGATCGGCCTCTGTGGAGGAGGCTCGTGAAGGATGCTACTGGGCAGTTGGAGGCAGTCGCCCTCCAACAACAACGGAGGGCGGAGGAGCAACGCTCAGAACAACGAGCGGAGCGCCGGGTGGCTAAAGCACAGCAGGTTGGCACAGTACGGGGCACAAGTGGTGCATCAGCCAGTCATCTCAGTCAGTCGACCCGTGGCACCTGGGTCTGCCCCGTGACCTCCTGCCAGCGGGCGTTCGACACTTCACGTGGCCTCAGGGTGCACATAGCCTGGCACAAGCGTCGTGGTGACGTCACCGCCACGTAGTGGCGAATGGCGGTTGTTGTTGTTGTTGTGTGAAACGTGAAACATGGACCCCTCTAATGGAACATCTGCACCCGTTAGAAACATCCATCTTGGGTTTAACCAGACTGGATTGTGTGAGGAGCTCATAAATCCTTGAAAGCTCTGGAAGCATTCCCATCAGTGAGCTCCTGCAGCAGGCAAGGCTGTATTGGCTGGATAATGTAGCCTACATGCCCAGCCACTGCATGCTCAACAGCTTTTATTCGGCTGGATAGAAGGGGATAAACGGGCGTGTCACGGAGCTGAGTGGACTTGTGAATGACTGGTAACAGTGGTGTCAAGATCGGCCTTGATGGAGGAGGCTCGTGAGGGACACTACTGGGCAGTTGGAGGCAGTCGCCCTCCAACAACAACTGAGGGCAGAGAAGAGATGCTAACAACAACGAGCAGAGGGCCGGGCCGCTAAAACACAGCAAGTTTTCACTTTAGGGGGCACAAGTTGTGTATCTACCAGTCATCTCAGTCAGTCAACTCATGGCACCTCGGTTTGCCCCGTGATCTCCTGCCAGTGGGCGTTCTACACTTCACGTGGCCTTAAAGTGCACATAGCCTGGCACAAGCGCCGTGGTGACTTCGCCACCACTTAATGGCCAATGGTGGTTGTTGTTTTTGTGTAGCATGTCTCTGTGTAGTGTGTACCATGTGTGTGTCTTTGTGTAGTGTGTGTTTTGCTATGTCGTGTGCGGTGTTTAAACATCGGCACTGGAGAGACAAAAGCAACCGGGCGTGGTGCTTGCCACCCATCCCCTCGTTGCCGTGTGGGCGTTCATAGGTGCTCCTCGCTAATAGCACTTGCCCCAACAGTCTGTTAAAGGCTACACGGGGGACCTTTGTCTTGTTACGTGCGTGTGTTGCCCCCCTCACCTCTGTACAACAGACTCACTGGGCGTGCCGCGCTGGTCCCCACAGAACCATCGCCGTGACCTCGTCAACTCCATCAAGCACAGGTGGCTGCACCTCTCTTTCAATCACTCACTCATTCACTCATTCATTCGCATAGTCATTAATTCAATCACTTATTCAGTTGCTTTTCATTCATTCTTGTGTTCATTCACGTAATCGCCAATTATTATGCAAATCACTAATTAATTTACTTAATCCCTCCATCCTTCATGTATTCAGTCTCATTATTTTTCTCATTTCCTCACTCATTCAGTTCACTCAATCATTCTGTCATTCATGTAATCACTGATTCATAATTTATCATTCAGTTAACTTCTTTATTACCTCACTCATTCACATATTGATGATAATTACACAGCAAGCCACTCAATTGTAATTGCCAAGTTTACCGATGCATTATCTAATTCATGTTATTAACTTGCACGATAATGTATTATTATATTATTTACCTAGGAATCATACTCTTTGGTTTTTTCGGTAAAGTCACGTAGGTATAAAATAAATTAAATCACGACGTTTCGGGTGCAACACAAGCGTCCGTCATCAGGTGGGACAACCACAGCAAGAAACAATTGCTAGGAATCCTCACCTGAGTCCCAAGACTCTTATTCAGGAGGATTCTGCCAAGTGTTTGGAGTAGTGGGTAATGGGAGGAAACCGGAGACCCCCTGGGAATTGCAGGCAGAACAGGGGGAGAGAATACAACCTCCATACACTCACTCTCACACTCTAGAGGACAGGGAGAGGGATGTACGAAAAACAGGCACTTCTTGCTGTGAGGCATGAGATTTACCACTACGGTGCCACTGCCATCCTGCCAGTTTGATTTGAGCTCGCTCGCTCACGTATCCATCAGCTCTACCTCAACTCCTTCATCGTCACTGCTTTTGCGACTCCCTGCCAGGGCCTCTGTGACCTTTCTCGCCTCATCAGCCCTCTCCTTCTCTCTCGCTCTCTCTCTCCCTTTCACTCCCTCCCTTTCCCTCTCTCTCTCTCCCTGTGTGCGTCCATCTCCACCCTCACTCGACCGCCACCCCCCCCCCCCCTCAAGCTTCACCCGCCAACTCGCCCGCCAGCGGCACTGCTCCCCTTGCCCCTCGTCCGCACCCTGGGAGCCCCCCCCCACCCCCCGCAGTGGGCAACTCTCCCGGCGTCTCCATGACGGCTCCCTCGGCGCGAGCTCCCGCGGGGCGTGACGCGGTCGCGGTTAAACCAACGCCGGTGCGCGGCGCGTTCCGCCCCGGCTCTCACGCCGCGTATCTGCGCGCAACGGCTCCGACCCCAGTGCTCAATCATGATGATCATTTATGCGCAGAGTCCCGGGAGGGGCCCTCCCTCCCTCCCCTCCCTCCCCTCCCTTCCTTCCCTCCCCCTCCCTCCATTCCCTCCCTCCCCTCCCTCCCCCTCTCTCCCTCCCCTCCGGCGTTCGTGTTAAACACGATGGCACCCGCAGTTTGAGACGCTGCTCACCGTGGAGTGGTGGGGAGCGGCACACCGGACTGGCAATCCCGAGGTCACCGATTCGGTTTCATCTCCAGGAACGGCAGTTGAAGCAATGTGGGCGGGGGTTTGGGGGTTTCTGAAATCCTCCCCACCACCTTTGTCCCGCCCAGCAGCGTAATTTGGTTCACCACGGTAAAGTCGATCGGTGGGTCACGCGGGGTAAATTGTGGCTACTTTGACCTCTTCCAAAACATCTGGTCGGTGTGGAAGAGTAGACCAAACACTCTCCATAGGAGCTCTCTAGAGTGACGAGAGCCAGCAATTGCAAGGGCTGCGCCTTTACCTGATATGCAGCTATAAGTGGGTGGGAAGGGGCTGAGCCATCAGCAGCATCCTTGTCACCGTCGGTGAAACGCGACATCTCAGTGCCCAGTGAAGGCCGCTGGGAGCTGGCGGGTGTGGGAGGGCTGCTGTGTCAGTGCCTACAGGACGGGAGGTCACGGGGCGTGGATGGATCGTCACTCGCGCCGGCTCATTAGCGAGTGGCGATGTCACCTTGCTCTGTCTCCCTGTCTCCCCGTGTCCCTCGCCAGGCTGTCAGGGGCTGCACCGGACAGGGTCAGGGGTCGCGTTAAGGCACCGGGACGGCCGTGTGTGTGGTCGGGTAGTAGGGGAGGGGCAGTGGCGTGTCACGTGCGTGTTGAGTGAGTGGTGAGTGTGACTGTTGCGTGAGTGGTGAATGTTAAGTTTTGCGTGGGTGTTAGTGTTGAAAGTTACGTGAGTGTTGCTTGAGTGTTGTGTGAGTGTTGATTGTGAGTGTTGTGTATCAGTGTTGTGTTTTGAGTCTTAGTGTTGGGTGTGACTTTTGAGTGTGAGTGTTGTGAGTGTTGCATGTGAGTGTTGCTTGTTAGTGTTGTGTGTTGAGTGTGAGTGTTGCCTCTTAGTGTTGTGTTGAGTGTCAGTGTTGCCTGTTAGTGTTGTGTGTTGCGTGTGAGTGTTGTGCGTGTTAGTGTTGTGTGTTGAGTGTGAGTGTTGCTTGTTAGTGTTGTGTGTTGAATGTGAGTGTTGAGTGGGAGTGTTTGTGTTGCATGTGAGTGTTGCGTGCTAGTATTGTGTGTTGAGTGTCAGTGTTGCGTGAGTGTTGCGTGAGTGTTGGATGTGGTCACTGTGCAGGTCAGCACACACATTGGCGGCAGCGTCAGAGTCACGACTCGAATCAGCCTCCTTTGGCGTCTTCGCTTGCAGCTGTGAGTAGTAGCATGGAAAGAGAGAGACAGGAGGAGAGAGTGAGCAAGGGAGATAATGAGAGTAACATAAGCGAGGACAATAGTGAGGGGACATAGAAGAACGATCCGGAGTTTGCTAGAGGAGAGGAAGAGAATTTGCAATGAGGTGAAAGAGAGTTGAGGTGGGAGAGATGAAGACAAGGAGAGGACATTTTTGGAAAGCGCCGCCCCCTACTGTGCCGATGAAGAGGCCACTTGAAGAGGTGTGCAAAGGAGCCCTCCAAATGAATTCCCATTCCCAGGGCGCACCGCCCGATATCACGGTCCGAAGAGAATTGGGGAAAAAGACAAGATGCAATGTCACAAGCCAAACACATTAGACATTGCTTTCTAGTCACGGCATAGGCCGATGTCAGCTGTGCTTGATGTCAGCTCCAGCCATATTTGTCACTGTGAATTTGGAAGTGTCATTTGTCCATATAGAATTTGTAGTTATGGCTGTTATAAAATATGATGTGCGTAGTACTCAATTAGAAGCAACACCTCCCCATAACTGCGTAAAACCTGGCGGGGCTCTCCTCACAAAGACTCGGTGAGGCTTTGCTGGGTAACGAGCGTAAGGATGTGGCCACTCGTGGCTATGCCCGCTGCTTGACCGTGGCGAGTGCGACTTTTGTTGCATAAAATGTATCTCCAAGTCTTGGGATGGTTCGATTTTCCATAACGACTTCTGACTGCCTCTCCTGCAAACAGAATTGTTGTTCCTGCAGCATTGTTTTTTTCATTTTATTTGCCATTTTCGATTACATTTATACAATCTATTTTTTTATTCTCAGTTTGTTCCTATCTCGCCTTAGCCCTCTCCGGCAGAGTTAAACTTAGTGACACTCCTGTTAACTGCGAGTCTACTGGGAGCGTGCGATGCATACGTTTATCGTGAGATGAGGGGCAAGACTTGATGGAAGATGCCGGCCTAAGGCAGAGCTGTTCCTGAAGGATGAAAGCCAGAGGGGAGGCTTGAAACTCTGGTGGAGGAACCGTGATGACGAGCGGCCCTTCAGGGGCGTTTGCCGTGCGGTTGCGCCATCGGTGACTGCCAGGTCGCGACCTCGATCTGGCCGACGTTCACCCACTGGCAAACGCTGGTCGCGCGAGCTTGCACCCTGCTCATGCTGCCGTTGCTGTCGTTGCTGCTGCTGTTGCCGCCCCGACCTCCCCCGTGCCTCCGCCAGGTTCACCACCAAGACGTGGTGGCGCTCGGAGGTTTGCAGCGTGTGCGAGCGTGGCATCATGTTCGGAGTTCGCTGCAAAAACTGCCAGTGAGTGGACGCGCACCGCGGGCAGCGGTAGCGCTTCGGCGTGTTGACGCGGCGAGGCGCACCCTGAACGAGGGAAAAAAAACCTACGCATACGCACGCGTCCCGCCGCTATTTCCCAGCGCGCGCGTTTGCTCAGAGGTGCTTAATTAGCGGTAATAACGTTAAGTTTCAAGCTGCACTGGGGGGAGGGGACGAGTCGTTAAATGCCCGCTCATTACCATTACCGTCGTCCCTCTGATGTCGCTAACATTCAAAAGAGCGATACTGCCGTAGACATGTGGAATTGCCGTCATTGGTTATCAGCCATCAGCAGTGAAGATCCCTCCCCAGCACTAGTTTGTACTTCCCTTGAATACTAGTGAGACCGGTGGGATGATTGACCATAACATTCGGCCCTCTAGGTAGACCCAGCCATAAATGAGCACTTGCTCATGTGAATGCTTGGTAGTAGTAGTGTTTTTATTTGCTTGGATGTTGAACTTCTTTCGCACCGTACATACCCATCCGTGCTAATCGGAGTGGCTGTATGTGGGATTTGGTCCTTATATATAAATAATGTATAGCGTTATGGGATGCTATAAGCGTGAATGAGGCGATATAAAATGAAGGTAGTATGATTAATATCAACCCCAGGGCTGTCTTTGTTTTATTGTAAATCCCAACTCGATTAAAGAGGGGCGTATCGAGCCGTTGCAGGAGTTGAGAGGGACAGCAGCAAAGGCGAACCCACGGCATCGGAAACAAATCGGGCGGCAGGTGCGGCGTGCCGGCGCTGCTGCCGCCAGCCAACTCCCTTGCGGCGGCGGTGGCGGCGGCGGTGGCGGTGGTGGCGGCGGTGGCAGCGGTGGCAGCGCTCTGCAGAATGTCCTCGTTATTCCTTTCCCTTCTTAATCTTTGTTATAATTTTTGGGCCATTTCCACCCTTTGTGGATTTCTCACTCGTCAAGAGCGCTTCATTAGACGATCGTAATGCAGAGCGCGCCGTCAAATTTGCGCTCGTTGCCTTAATTTGTTTGGCAGCAAAAATGAGTCGCATATTGCTAACAACCCAATTAAGCCACGAGTGATGTGGCTGCTTTGTAATTATATTTATTTGCAATCTGTGGAGTCCTGTCAGGGAGCTAATGGCACATCTGCTGCTGGATGCTCAAGTCATTTTTAAAATTGTTAGCGAAAACAATCATCTCAATGGGGCGTTCGCTGTCATTCGAATATCGTTTAAAAAAACACAGGCGTGCCACCCGCCCCGTCGCGTGAGCGCACGCTCCCACACTCTCACGCGTGCGCTACATTCCCAGCGACCTGGGTTTAAATCCCGGCCCGCCCGTCGCGGCGTCCGATCATCGGCTATTGCGTTCAACAATAGCCGTCGTGCTTTTGTCGGGTTGACAAGCGCCTGCACGAGCTTTTTTGTCCCAGACGAATCGGTGCGTCCGTTTCACCTACTCGTGACACGGAGGCTGTCCGTGTGCATTCTGGTGCTGGCGTTTCGAACCGTATCGTCCGCTGAGGGATTCGTATAATGAGGACCAGTTTGCGGAAAGTCGACATTCCTGCTCCCCATCATCGGAATGTGGAATTTATCCCTCTGCACATTCCAGCTCTCCTGGAATGTGCTCCAGGAGAGCTGAGGACCGCCCTGTAATCTCCAGGCCGAGAGCCTGGAGATACTTTGACTCGCAGTTTGACTCGGAGCGCCCGTCAAGGCCGGCACGATACGTTGGCGGTGTGCCCGGGCCGCCAGCCTGGTTCTCCCCACAGCTGTTTGTGGCCCCGACGAAAATCAGCAGCAGCCTCTAGACGTCCTTGTCGAATGGGAATCTGTGTGTGTTGGCCACCCGCCCTCCCTCATGTACCTTCATAGGTCTTCGACAACAGCACTTGCCCCAAAAGTCCGTTCGAGGCTTTACAGGGCATATTTGTATATTTGTTGTTGTGTATGTGTGTGCGTGTGTGTTTACGCTTGTGGGGAGTGGTAGTTTAGCGGTTAGCGCGCTGTGCTACGAAACTGGCAACCAGTATTCGATTCCCGCTCATGGCCTACACCAGTGAAGATGATCTAAACCGGTCGTGGGCCTCCCCTAGGTAGACACAGCCTCAAATGAGTACCTGGTGCGGTGTGTAAACATCGCCACTGGGGAGACAAAGGCGGTCGGGCGTGGTGCTGGCCACCCACCCCCTCGTGTACCGTTCTGGCCTTCATAGGTGCTCGCTAACAGCACTTGCCCCAACAGTCTTTTAAGACTATACGGGGGATCGTTTCATCTGTTGTGTATGTGTGCATATATGTGTGTGCGTTCGGGTGTGTGTGTGATTGTCTTTGTTTCTGTGCATGTGGGCGCAGGCTGCAGTGTCACAACAAGTGCATGAAAAATGCTCCCTCGTGCCAGATCCTCATTTTCCCACGTGAGAGTCACACACGTACACTCGCGCATGCACACACATGCGCACATTAACATACACACATTCACGCATGCACGCACACGCCCACACTCACGCATGCACGTGTGTGTGGTGATTTGTGTGTGTGCAGCGAACACGCTTGCGTACGAACACAACTCGCTGCCGGCGCGGATCAAGGCGTCCGGCAACGGCGTGGACCCCGGCGGCGGGGAGACCCCCCCACCGTCGGGGACCGGCCTCTCAGGCACGCGCACCATCAACTTCCCCTCGCGAGTCAAGGTGCGCGCCGCACCACCACCGCCGCCACTACCGCCGCCTCCTGGCTGCGCTGTGCCGCCCTTCGTGGGCTCCTGGGTGGCGGCGGCGTGGCGGTAGCGCTCGGCCTCTTGACGAGGAGTGTCTGAGTTAGATTCCTGACTAGGTCTCCCATTGTTGCGCAGAGTGAGAGTGAGCGATAGTGTAGCGGTTAGCGCGCTGTCACCCGAGTTCGATTCCTGCTCACGGCCAACACCTGTGACGATTATTTTAACCGGTCCTGGGCCTCCCTTAGGTCGACTCAAATGCATACATGGTGCAGTGTGTAAACATCACTACTCGGGGACAAAGGCGGCCAGGCGTGGTGCTGGCTACCCAACCCCTCATGTGCCATGCGCGTTAACAGCACTTGCCCCAACAGTCTGCTTAGGCCTATACGGTGCGTGTGTGTGCGAGTCTTTGTGAATGAGAGTTTGTGGAGTTTGTATGTTCTCTCCCTGTTTTACATGGGTTTTCTCTGAGTTTTCCGATTTTCTGCCATAGCCAAAACCCACACAACATAACTGGTCTTGGCCAAACATCCCAATGCTGAAAACCATGAATTGCTCAATTGGATTCACAGCACAGCAACATCGCCTCGTACTGCGAAATCCTGCCATGACCCTCGATGAGTCTTGAAACTCATCGAGACTTTCATGGGCAAACGAGCGTGGCAATATTAATAATAGATACTCGCCAACAGCACTCGCCCCCGACAGTCTGTCAAATGCTACACGGGGGACCTTTTGCCTGTGTAGGAGCGGGCGCCCATCCCCTACCAGCAGCCGGTGGCGGGCGGCAGCGCCGCGTCGTCATGCGCCTCATCACCCCCATCGTCCGCCGGCTCCTGTACCCCCAGCTCCACGCCGTGCAACTCCCCGCGCACGGGCCCCGCCAGCAGCTCCTTCAGCTTCCCCGGTAGGCGCCCTGCTCGCACCGCGTCCACTCTACCTCTCGCTACGCCCGTGGCTGCCGTGGCCCCACATGCCGCCCGCTCCGGCGAGCTGGAAAACGCTCGGTGAGAAATTAATCCCCCGCTCATGCCACGTCCAGTGTACCTCCGGGGGACCCGAATATATTTATATATTTATCTACACACAATTCCAGTAACAATGTACACCATTGTGCACGGTTTAATCACGTGGTTAAACCATCCTCGGTTGTGACCTAGATTTAGATCCCATTGCTGCCGGATTTCTCTGCTCTCTCACGTTCGTCACTGAGCCGCGCTCGATTTTTCGCGGAGAGGCGGTCGGCAACATCGCTCCGTCGCTTCTCGTCGTTGGTCCGGTTCGATGCCGGGACCGCCTTCAACACCTGCCCGAGGCACTCTCAGTCCCGGATGCCTGCAGTTGTTGAGCGAGCGTATTGCGCGCGACCTCTGTGTTGACAGCGAGCCCTGAGGAAGAAAGTAATTTAACCGTCGCGCAAAACCTGCCGCGACATACCGATCAGATGCACGAACACTGGCAGAGGCAACGCAGCAGCAGCTGCAAAGGGCGCAAAGAGGAGCGTGCAGAGACGCAGCATTAGGATTGCATTGAGAGACAGATGGACAACTTTGGATCTGAGGACGCGTTTACGTTAGAGACATCACGCTGACTGCTGGGAGAAGTAAGTGGGCTTTGACGAGATGGGGTGGCGATCGGCGCTCTAGACTGACGTCAGCGCCGCATCAAAATAAGGGTATGTCCAGCGTGGTGATGGAGCAATTACATCAACTTGTGTGTAGGCGTTAGGTGGATTGTTGCATTGCAGAACCGTGAGAGATGGCGGTGGCTTGGGGAGGATTTCATCCAACAGTGGATAGGTCATGATTGATGGTGATATGATTACTTAGCTACTGCTTTGGTGGGGAAATGAGGGTTCTGATGGTGCTGCTGCTGTTACGATTACTGCTACTACTACTGCTGCTTCTACTGCTGCTGCTCCTATTACTGCTACTACTTATACTACTGCTGCAGCTATTACTACTACTGTTGCTACAACTGCTCATGCTGCTGCTATTACTACTACTGCTGCTGCTACTGCTGCTGCTACTGCTGCTACTGTTGCTGCTCGTAGCCGGGTTAACCACAGTGGGCGTCTGCGATGTCGTGATTAATATTTGAGTGGCCACTAAAAGGAGCGAAGACTGGGCCTCGTGAAAACAGGAGATTGTGACAAACAACATCAAGAATAAGAATATCATCATCATCATCAAAAATGCGGATGTGCAATACCGCATTCGTTTTTAAACGGTGTTTGCTTTGCCGCGCCGTATGGCGCACATGCATACTCGGGATGTCACCGTGTCGGCCGCTTATGACCAAAATTCGCCACCCCGAACCCCCGCCCTCACCATCCTCCCTCACTGCCCGTCATTACCTCTCACCCTCACCACTCACCCCTCGCCCTCACCCCTCACTGCCCACCCTCACCGCCCTCACCATGTGCTGGTTCAAAGCCGGACTGCACGCAAATTGGCCGCAGTGGGAGTTGTGACCAAACGCAGACTGAAGGACATAAGTCTGTGGTCACGGTCGGGGCCCTCAACTCCAACGCCTCACCGAGCCCCAAGGGTTCTGCATGAGAGAGGCTCTGCCTTGGGATCTTTGTCCAATTCTTGCTTAGTGAGGGACTTTGAATTCTACTTCCAGAGGCATCGGGCTGCAGCAAACATTGATGACTGTACAGCCTGTTCTACTTTAACGTGTGGTGTTAACGCGAATTGAATACGTGATGAATGTATTAGGGAACGCATTTTTTATAACGCGGATGCGAATTGGATATAACGTGATCGAGTGAACAGAATAACGTCGCGCAAGTGGGAATAAGCGGTGATACGGGCTGTCTCGGCGTAGCATCATCACACAAGGTGGGATGCTGCTGGATGCTTCTCGATGCTGCCCACGCGCCTCAGTCTTTGTTCAGCCTGCGTACGCATCTGACGTGCTATCGTGGACTCTGCTTTACCCTACATTATATATTATTTTTTAGAACGCGATTTTTGCATTACGCTGTGTTCTTCAGGACCGCAACTACCGCCACGTTATAGGAAAACAGACTCTACTGTATTGAGGAGTCCTAATATGAGAATGGTATCCGGTCCACAATTGTCTTTGTCTCACTGCCACCTTTTGTTGTTGGGACGGCCATGCATTTTTTACACCCCCAGGGTCGGTGGCTGTAAACGACAACATGGCCACACACGTTCAGTTATTTTAAACTGGTGTTCTGGTAAAGGCCGGGAGCTTATGTGCAACGTGCAATGTTGCACACCTGCGTGTTATTAAGCTGGAATTGAAAAAAACCCACGCATCCAGGCAGATAACACTCGAGCCCATGCAGCTGGCTCAGGAAGCTACTTTCTGTACTGCCTGTACTACTCCTCGTCATCTCGTAGCTGTCAGAACTCTCACGGCAAGGGAGTGTACACAGTAGGTGAACGCTTCAGAGGGTGCCCTTCTCTAGAATGGAGGGATCACTGCCAAGTGGGGGTTTGGAACGGCGGTGTCGGCAGGCCTGGTGGATAACCAGGGTGGTCACAGTGCAGGGCTCTGCGTGGCCACCCTCTGACCAGCATCGTCCATTCAGAATCAGAATCTTTATTCATCCTGGAGGAATCCAATGGGCTATGGTGCTCTTTTTCACAGATGTCCAGTCGGGGCAGGTCAGAAAGTTACAACAACAAACAATGCAAAAACACGATAGTAGTGTAAAGTATAGGAAAGGTAAACGTGTCACTATACATAAATACAGTTTTTACATTCAAATTGCATAAGTACATCAATGCCCAAGCTTGGGCAAGAGAGGAAAACAACAGCAAACACAATCCCCAAAATAGTCCATTATGGAAAAACAACCCACACAACAGACATCGCATGGGGTGGCTCTCATCCAACAGTGGATCGACAAAGGAGGTGGAATAGAAAGAATGATTACATTTCTCTTACGCTCGCATCGCTACAGAGAGATTGATGTAACTTTAACTCCCGGTCTGGGAATGGCTGTGGAAGTTGATGTCGCAGAAATACTCGTGAATGCCCTGTAGTGCTCTGTGCATGTCAATTAAATGAAATGTGTTCCTCAATAATGAAAACTGAGATGTGATATTAGTTTGTTGTCCTTCCCTCACATGTCTGATTAGCACGGTTGGCTACAACGAAGTTCAACATACCAAGACAAAGATCCCCCGTGTAGCCTTAAAATACTGTTCGGACAAGTGCTGTTAACTAGTACCTATGAAGGCCAGCACGGCACACGAGGGGGTGGGTGGCCAGCACTATGCCTGGCCGCCTTTGTCTCAACAGTGGTGATGTTTAAACACCACACCAGGTACTCATTTGAGGCTAAGTCGACCTAGGGGAGGCCCAGGACCATTTCAGATAATTTTCACTGGTGTTGGCCATGAGCAGGAATCGAACTCGGGTCGCCGAATTCGTAGCGCTGCACGCCAACCGCTACGCTACCACTCCCTCACATACATACTCATAAGTATGTAGTGAGTTCAACTGAGTCGCAGACGTACTCTTTGGAGGCAACACATGTATTAACACCAACAAACGGGGTAACTGCCCCTTAACAGAATAACAACCTATGGTGGTGACCACCAGGCTAACTACACAAATTACAACGTAACTGGTGTAGTTAGCCAGGTGGTGACCACCAGGCTAACTACACTAGTTACTACACTAGTTACTACACTAATCACACCGTAACTAGCTACAACGGACCGGACCACAGCTTGGGTCCAGGTCCATGCGTTGGAGGAAGGTTTCTTCAGGATGAACAACAACGCCGGTCCCTCTGGGGGACCCGGCTTCTATCCTCTGCGGCGTGGCTGGCCCTGCCCTTAGCCACAACCACCTTCAAGAACCCTCGAGCAGGATCTCGACCCTGGCACGTGACCACCCCTAGCCCCCACTTGGGGCCCCTGTGTAGACTTAACCGGTCACGTGTCCTCGGGTTAAACCAGATTGCCACGGCCTATAGTAACCCCATTTCCATGGCCGGCACTCCCACACCCTATCCTGTAGGGGCCGCCACTACACGCAGAGCGTGGTGCCATCCAGCACTCCCAGTCAGTGCTCACCGAGCCCCTCTAGGGCCGGTACTGCACCCACATCCAAGTGGTGTCCGTGATGTGGTTACATCGCACGCCGTGCCTCTCTGGGGCCGGCACCACACAGTGACATCCCGCGATGTCACTACACATACACATACGTTATGCGGTTCCTGATGAGCGAGATGAGGCCATCAGCTCGCTGCACCTGGGAATACAGTTTCATTGGAGGCGGCCAGCAGGTGGAGTTGAACCAGAGTGGTTAAAAGTTTTTGGTTTCCGTTACCGGTGCCGCGCACGGTGAAACGTCTCGTGACAGTCGTAGCTTGTTCACTGAGTCACGAAGGGAGCTGCCGCAACAGCGTCGCGGCAACAACGCTGAACTTGTCGATCGGCAGGTCGTGTGTCATGGGGTAAAGTGTGGGTACTCCCACACGAGCAGAACAAATACCATCTATGATAGAGGTTTTTTTGGGATAAGATCGCGTAAATATATAAATATGTCGTTAAAACCCGACACAGCCAACTAGTAAGGGTTGTCATGTAAACAGAACGTGGCCAATTTGTCACTAGTACAGCACACCGGTGTGTTGGAGAGCCAAGCCACAACATTTACAATCTGAGTACGACGTTTTGCCAGTAATTACAACCAGCTTCATCAGGCGACAGCCAGATTTGTGGGGAAGTGCACCTGTTTCGTTCCTTATATCGAGGCGTAGATGTGGTGACCACACTTCTGCGCTCCTTGCGCAAAGTGGGGGGGGGGGCGGGGGGAATTAATAAGTTAACGTACATTATGCATTGGGATTACGTGAGCCGTTTGATCTTGTCCTTCCTGTCCATTGTGTGTATTAACATAACCGGATCAACGGTAATCCCTATTGAAGTATGGTGGCCTGTATAGGCTTGCATTTAAACAATGCATTATTTGATTATATTTACGCAGTCTAACCCAACAAAAACCTCTTATGGGTGATATTGGTCGCGAAAGCCTACGTGTTAAACAGAACAATACCTCTGGGCGGGGGCGGGCTGTCTTGTAGAGATCCTTTCTACCAGCAGTGGCTCAACCAAGCCATTGCAGGGCTGCACCTTTAACGTTTAACTGGGAAATTTGGGCAAATGTACCATGCCATGGCACAGGCCATTTGTTGGCTCACGCGTGCCACTTAGCGGTATTCATTGCTCACATTTCACTGGAAACGGTTACTGGGTTGCTGAATTTTGGAACCTGTAACCGATTCTTCCTGTGGTTACTGTTTAACAAGCCTAACCCCTAAGCCAGCATCGCAGCGGTGCCAGCCAGGCTCAGTGTTCTGACACAGCCAGTATGAATTCCCCCCGGGCCACCCGGCCACCAATGGCTGTCCCGTTTTGCCGTCGCACCTGTGCCGAGAGCTGCCAAGTAGCCTGTATCTGCCCATTTCTATTTATCTCTCAAAGTAATTTTACTGCCGTTTTTTTTTCATGAGCGCTTATCGTCGGTATTTTTTTTCGTCGGGGTACTTTACATTTGCACATAAATGAAATGTTTGCGAATTTCCGAAGGCAAGCCAGCTGTGTGGCGCACGTCTACGGGTGGGTGAGGGGGGTTGCAGGGAGGGAGGTAACGATGACAAATGGGAGTTAAAGTTGAGTGGTGCTCAGATGAACGTGGGGTGCCGCGTTTGTCTCAATTAGCAGCCCCAGGACGCTGCCGCAGCGGTGTGGCGGTGAGCGGCGCACTGGAGTCGTGGTCCAGAGGCCACCGCTTCTATTCTACCTCCCGGTGTGGCAGTTCAAACAATGGGGGCAAGTTTCTTAAGGGGCGCCACGGTGGCGAGATGTGAACTACCTTGCCCGGTATACAGGAGGTCGTGGGTTCGATCCCAACCCTGACGATACCTGTATATTTGGAGGTTTCGTGTTCTCTCTTCCCATGGTCGTGTGGATTTTTCTCCAGGTCCTCCGGTTTTTCCCTCTATATTTATAATTAACGTGCATTTAGAGTATTTGGCTGCTAGACATTTTCACGTGGTAAGCCACTTTGTTGAGCTCTCATTTGTGGCCAAGTCGCTTCTCAAAAAGAGCGATATAGCTCGGTTGGCCTTACCTGGTCAAATAAAAATAGTTGATAGTAGTTTATAGTTTTAAATCGGCCCCCCGTCCCTGCCGCCTCTGTCCACCGAGCAGGATAAATGGGTTCAACCACAGTTCGTCGACTCGCAGGTCGCGTGTGGTGGGGTAAAGTGTGGGTACTCCCAGCTCTTGCAAGAGCTAGTGGTGGGAATTAACAGGGTGCTGTCTCCACTAGAACGGTAGCGGTGCTGAGCTGCCCCGGTGTTGAGTTCTAAGAGAGAACAACAACCGGGAGAGGAGATCATTGGATGGTGATGCAGACAGAAGGGAAGTTAAGCAGAATTTGTCAACAGAGAGACAACACTTTTGGCCGAGATGTTAGCGATCTATACTCAGAGACAACGATCCTCCACATAGCCTTTACAAAACTAGTGGGGCAAATACTGTTAGCGAGTGCCGAATTATACTGGCACCTTACCCGAGTGGCTGGTGTGGCCAGAACTCCAGCCGGCCACTTTTGTTTCCCCGGTGCTGATCTCATCATACATCACTTGCCAATGATCATGGTCAGAAATCAAGCTCAGGTGACCAGATTCATGGGAGAGTGAGGGAACCACTGCGCCACCACTCCCCCTACATGCACAAAACAACAAAGACAAGATCCCCCATATAACCTCAACACTCTTGGGGTAAGTGCTGTTAGCGAGCAGACATAACGAACACACCCACATGAGTACAGCTAGTCACAACGATGCACATACATAATCACACACTGACGTCAATACACGTTAACACGTCCACACACAAATCATGCACATATGTGGACACACTCCTACACACGTAAACACACAAGGCTGAGTCGACCTAGGGGAGGCCCAGGACCGGTTCAGATAATCGTCACTGGTGTTGGCCGTGAGCGGGAATCGAACTCCGGTCGCCCGGGTTCGCAGCGCCGTATGGCGTTAACTGCAGCCCCACTGTAATACACACGCACGCTCGCGGAGGACACGCGATTTTATGGAAGTCCTTGAGTGATGATTGAGGTTATCGCGCCTGTTTAGCGAGCAGACTGATCGCGGCCTCAGATACGTCCGGCTCATGTTTGCTTTTCCAAATTGAAAAGACTGATTCCCCTCTCTAAATGGTTGCCGACCTGGCGTGTTGCGGGCGGGGTCACGGTGCCGTCCCTGTTGTCTGGCCTGAGCCATACCGTTGCGACGTCACTCGGGATGATGGGACGATGATGTGACGCCTTTAAGCGGGGATGGAGGGGGGAGAAGATAACCTACGTGTTAAACTGAAGATAGCTCCGTTCAAATGCATTTAAAGAACAGATGCAAATGAGAGGACTCGGATTGAAGTGGTTGTTAAGCACAAACTGGAACACGTGACACCACCTCCCATGAATGCAGTTAAGCAATCTCGGGTTGGTGCATTTTGTTTTTAATGCTACTTCTATCATCAGCCATGATCTGTCTGCTGCTGAATGAACGCCTCCCCAGTCCAACAATCTGACGAGCTCCCGCTGCACGCAAGCCGATTTGATCGCTCCTCCTCCGCTGTGGACGTCCTTTCTGGCGCGTTTCCCTCCTTTGACTACCGCTCTACCTTCGGTCTCAACCACCGGCCAATGTTCCCTTCTGGCAGTGATGGGTGCCTGGCCAAGTCACCCCTGACGTTCCAAAGCGGTGGATTGCGAGAAGCGTTCCCGTTACCGGTGACGAGACGCGTTTGCGAACACGGTGATTCGTCGTCTGCTGTGGTGTTCCACGGTGCCATCGTATCAGCGATGCGCCGGTTCATGATCGAGCTTCGGTTGTTATCCATTGCCGGAAATCCAGCGCGTGGCGCGGATTCTCGCTCGGGCCGACTCTTAAATAAAGAAAAACGTCACCGCGAGGTGGCCCGGTTGTTAAGAATAGACATCGCTGCTCGACTTCGGCTCGGCTCCGGTTCGGCTCTCGCTCAAGTCGGCCATGGCTCAAAGCCACGCTCAACTTTAGCCGGATCCCACCTGCCGTGCTCAGTATTTACATGAGTATAGTCGAGCCACGGCTGAGCTGGTCGTGTGGTCTGTGCAAACAACTGAGTGGCTCGAGCCTGAGCCAAGCCTGCATGTTAGAGGGTGAGCCGCTACTCGGAATCTGGCCCCAAAATACATTGACCTGATTTACGGATTGTGGGTGCCGAGTGTTGTGCGGCTCTCCCGCGTGTTTGGGGGTTGTAGCACGCCTTGTGGGCCCCACGATGTCTGAAGTTTCGCTCCACGTGCTGAAAGCTTGTTCAGGAGCGAAATGTCACACCTCACACTGGGCGGCGCGGTGAATATTGCATATTTCATATTTATACCGTTTTATTTTGCGATGTTATTAATGTTTGTGTTGTCTTGCTGTGTTGTTTTTGATGATGAAGTAAATAAGAAAATGTTCAAGCGAGACCGCTGGAATGTTTGCGTGCGCTCTCGGGGGCCATGTGTATGCTTCGTATGTGGTAATTAACAGCACTTGTCCCATCAGCCGGTGAAGTCTAAAGAGTTGATCATTTGTTTTGCCTCTCTATGTGTTTGCTGCCGTGGTAATAATGCAATCCAAATATCACTTGTTTGATCTCCCGGTGTGGCAGCTGAAACAATGGGACTAGTTTCTTACATTCCCTCCCACCCCCCACTCCCTCCGTCCACTCAACAGTAGAAATGGGTTCACCAGAGTCGATGGGCGGGTCGCATGTGGTGGGGTAAAGTGTGGTGACACAGACCTCTTCCAAGACGTCTGGCCAGTGTGGAAGTAGGCCAAATACCCTCTAGAGGGGCTCTCAGGGCTTCCTCATGTAGGAGGCTTCTCTGGTAGCGTTGGCGTGAGCAGGCAATTGCAGGGCTGTGCCTTTACCTTTTACATGATTCTAGCATGCTCACCGGTGCGTGTGTGTGCGTGTGTGCGCTTGTGTGCGTACCTCCGTGTGTCCATCTGCACCACACAGACATCCCCTCGGGAGCGGACAACACGGCATCCTCGGATTTCTCCGTGGCTCTCTCCCCCAACCCGCAGACGTACGTCATGGTGACTCTACGAGCCAGTTTGGGTAGCGGGGTGGCGGCACAGTGGTGACACTCGTGCCTGACAGCAAGAAGCGCCTGGGTTCGATTCCCAGTTTTGGCACCTGTGTTCTGCTCCAGATGGGTTTCATACTGGCTTTCTCCCGTAGCTACACACACACACAGTGGAACTGGTATTGCCCAATCATCACAATGGTGAAATATTATCAGCAAATTACTTAATCGGGATGATGCATAGCAACCCTCTTATGCAAAACTGGGTAAGACCCTCCCAATAGAGTATTGAGACTCATTAAAGCTGTCCTAGGTAAAAGAGTGTAAAACATAGACTAAACAACCTTTTGTCAATGTGTAATGGGTTCGATTGAGGCGCACACTCGACTTGGAGGCAACACTATTTATTAACACTCAACACCAACTAACACTCGGGGAACACTGCACAGCGTGACCCCGGGCAGGTGACGGCTGCCTGGTCACGAACGACGATCAGAGACTTGGGGACTTCTCATGGCGTTCATCCCGGAGTAGAACAGCCCCGCTCCCCGTTCACACCCCGCTTATAACCGCTCCGGCGTGGCCAGCTCCGCCCCAGGCCACGCCCCCATTCTCGATCCTTCGGGAAGGTCCGGGCCCCCAACCACGTGACCCCCAATCTTCACTTGTCCTGTTGGGTTCACGCGGAGTGCCACGGCCTGACACGGCTCCCGTGACACCCGCCTACAGCCCCCATACCGAGCCGACACGGTAATGACGTCATATGTGCCTACGCTCGTACAGTCCCGACATAGTAGTGCAAATGCAATTCTGTAAGGAGGTCTCCTTCAAATGCCGTGTCGGTCATGGGGTTGTTTGACCATACTTCACCACACTGGTAAGTGGGGGTTGATGAAGGTGGGAGCACAGATGTAGAGTACTGTACCCCAATGGATTGTGCCGCACTGCTGTCCGCTACTGACCGCGCAGCCTCAATTGCAGATACAACTTGAAAATGTGAACCGCCATGACCTACGCCACGTTGCACACTGCTGCGCCGTGCCGTGCCGGGTTGTTTAATGTGTCACTCGCTCTCATTCGTTCAGCGGCGGTGGCGGCAGTGGTGACGGTGTCTCTCCACGCACGCCAACCGCTGACGAAGGCGACTCATCAGAGAAACTGCACGGTGGGCTGTCAGCGAGCGAGGTAAGTGGTGGCCACCACCCGCAATGCATGCTGGGAGATCAGTGTCCAGGTGTGGAGGGTGGCGGCTATAGCAAGGTCTAGGTTAAGGCGTTCGCAGTGATTTAGGATTTTTAGGATTCACTTACAACACTCGGTGGTCAAATATCCGAGGTGATATATTTTCATTCTCTAGAGTTCCATGGAAGCTTCCATCCTGGTCTCACAGTTAAACATCCAACATTGTTAGGGTTCAGTTAAAACACCAGTCGCTACGAGGCTGCCGCGTTACGGTTTGCTATCATGATTGTTATTGGGGTGGTGAAACGGCCCAGCGGGAGCGCGTTCGCCGCTCGTGGCAGAGGTTCACGGTTCGAATCTGACAGGCTGCCCTGGTTATTACTATGTATTGGCCAGAAAATAGCCGAAGTGAACGTTAACATACCCGTGACGTCATTCACAATAGTTAAGCCATTGTGTGCCGGCGTCATGGTCCAAATGTATAAAATTCTACAAAATTACATCACAAATTTCTCAGTTGGGATTACACACCGCATGCCCGTGCCTGTGACGCACAGCAGCGCCTTACTTTGGGATAGCCTCGGGCTATAGGAACCGCGCGAATATCACTCATACGAGATTATTGTTTCTGTTATAACAATCATCTCATCTTTACACCAGTGATGGGTGCCATGGTGGCGAGATGTTGACTACTTCACCTGGTGTACAGGAAGTCGTGGGTTCGATCTCGACCCTGACAATGCCTGTATATTTGGAGGTTGCATGTTCTCCCCGTGGTCGCGTGGACTTTTCTTCGGGTCCTATGGTTTTTCGCTCCACATATAAAAACATGCCTTTAGAGTATTTGGTTGCTATACATTTCCACATGGTAAGCCACTTTGTTGAGCCATCATTTGCGGCCATGTTGCTTCTGAAAAAGAGCTATATAGCTCAGTGGGCCTTACCTGGTAAAATAAAAATAGTTTAGACGCTATTAGTTAGTATGTTGAACCGTGGTTATCATTGTTGTTGTTCCTCGTCTGGCAGGGCGTGGAGGAGGAGCAGCCGGTGGTGGAGGTGGCGACGTCGCCAAAGCCAGGGGACATGCCGGACTCCGCCGAGAGCTCCGAGACGGTGGGGGAGCTGAGCTACGTGGCGCGAGGGGGACGCACGCAAACCAGCATCCTGCTCAAGGTGTGTGCATGCCTCAGTGTGTGAGGAGCGTTGGTCCGTTGATTAGCGTGCTACGCTATGAACCTGGAGACCAGAGTTTGATTCCCGCTCAGGGTCAACACCAGTGATGATTCAATTATCTGAACCAGTCCTGGGCCTCCCCCAGGTCGACTCAGTCTCAAATGAGTACCTAGTGCGGTTTGTAAACTTTGCCACTGGGGAGACAAAAGCGGTCAGATGTGGTGCTGGCCACCCATCCCCTGGTGTTCCATGCCAGCATTAATTGGTGCTCGTGAACATTCCCTGCAGCTCAGCTGGACACTGCGATCTCCCTGAACACTTTTTCACTCTTCAAAATGAACCAGTGATAACGTCCCTAGGGCATCCACTTAAAATCATTGCGTCGTACCACACGCGGTACACCCCAAGCACAATGTTGAAAGCCACACCGTAGTGATGTTATTATCACTAACTAGGCTTGTTAAACGATAACCGCTAAAGCGGTACATCTTTTCAGAATTAGTTACCAGTTGCTGACTTGCAGAACCGATCAATGACTACAGTGGAATTCGAGTGATGAACTCACAGACTGAAGGACTGTACCCCATTTTTTTAACTGCCGTGCCAGGAGATGGAATCGAATTGGCCACCTCTGGATTTGCAAGTCCAGTGAGCTGCTGTTACATCACCAATGTGGCAGCTCCCTTAGTCTCTCACTTAAGAAGTTGAACGTGTTGTGTATTGCTGTAAACATTTCTATATTTGCCACACATCGGTAACTGTTTTTTATACTTTTTTTTCGCGCGGTTACAGCTCATGCAAACACGATTTTAACAACCGTATCACATACCAATACATCTGTCCCTCCTATACCTCCCCCCCCCGTGGACCCCCGTGGCATCGAGCAGGAGTGGAACATCCCGTTCGAACGTGTGGAGCTGGGGGAGCTCATTGGGCGCGGGCGGTTTGGGGCGGTCCACCGCGGCCGCTGGTACGGGGAGGTGGCGGTGCGCCTCGTCACGGTGGAGGGCCATGAGCAGCAGCGGCTGCGCCTCTTCAAGCAGGAGGTGCTCACCTACCGGCAGACGCGGCACGAGAACGTCGTGCTGTTCATGGGCGCCTGCATGAACCCGCCGCACCTGGCCATCGTCACCAGGTGACGCCGCGCCCCCACCTCCCCACCCCCCTCCATCCCGCCGGGGCCGCGATGCCAACCACCCATGGACCCAGTGCTAGCGACGCTGCCGACGGTAGATTTACTTAAAATTCATTGTGCTCGTTTTCACAGGAAAGCCTCGGCCAGTCTCGGGTTTTTTGCAGGATGGGGGCGATGTTGCCGTGTTCAATAGCAGTTGAGCCATTAGCGGGAGTAGGATATTTGGCCAATACCGGTTACATTGTATGTGCATGTGTTTAGCTGGACTGACTTCCCGTCACCAAGCACAGCGATCATGCTCGTGACTAGTTTCATGTCACCCAGGTTATGTGCCGAGGATACTGGTAGATTGACAATCGTCACCCCTTCTTGCACAATCCCTGCTGGTTGGCCAGTAAATTATTATCATGACGATAATAATCCACGGTTCTTTTTCAATCCACCGCTGTCCCCCTCGCCCCCCACCACACCCTGCAGCTTCTGCAAAGGCCGGACGTTGTACGCGGTCGTGCGGGATCCAAAAGTTCCGCTCGACATCAACAAGACGAACCAGATCGCTCGCGAGATCCTCAAGGTGCCAACCTCCACCGCCGCTCGCCGTTAATGGGACGCGCGGGGTCTTTAGATTGTTTGGCTGCTGCTATAAATTTCCACACGATAAGCCACTTCGTTGAGCTATTATTTGTGATAGTCAGGTCGCTTCTTAAAAAGAGCTATATAGCTCAGTCGGCTTGACCTGGTAAATAAAATAGAATTTGTTAACAAGAAAAGTTAATCATCGTATTGTTTCACGGAGTAACAGTTAGCAGCACGTTTGACTGGCAATCCAGATTCCATCTCCTGGCTCGGCCATTGAACCAATGAGTAAAATTTCTTAAATCCCACCCCCTGCCCCCCGCCCCCCCAACGCCTCTGCTCACTCAGCAGTATAATCGGGTATGGCACAGTCGATCGGCTGCTCGCGTGTGGTGGGGTAAAGTGTGGGTACTCCCACAAGGGTAGACCAAATACCCCCTAGGGGGGCTCTCTTGGAGAGATCCTTCTGCCAGCAGTGGCGTATGTACGTATTGTATGTTGAACTTCTTTCACACCATACGTAGCCAACCGTACTAATCGGATTAACCAAACAATAGCAGGACTGCACCTTTATCTTTTCTATGCACAAACATGTAGCTCTTTTTCAGAAACGACAGAAACGACCTGGCGACAAATGATAGCTCAACGAAGTGGCTTATCACGTGGAAATTTATAGCAGCCAAATACAATGCACGTTTCTAAATGTGGAGGGAAAAACCAGAGGACCTGGATACAAATCCAGACGACCAGGGGGAGAGCATACAAACTCCAAACATACAGCAGGCGTTAGGTTTGGGATCGAACTCACGACCTCCTGTATACCGGGCGACGTAGTTAACATCTCACCACCGTGGTAAATGAGGGCAACTGGGAAAAGATGGCAAATGTACCATGCTATGGCACAAGCCGCTGTGCCATTTGTTGGCTTGCGTGCCACTTGGTGGCATTGTTCACATTTCACAGAAGGAGGTTACCAGGTTCCTGAACTTTGGAGCCAGTAACCGATTCTCATAATGGTAAAAAAAAATCCATGAATGAAGAGGTTTCACTTTTACTGTATTTACATTTTGCTGTGTTTGATTGTGCAGCAGGAATAGTTGATTGTTTAGATGTCACTTAAAATATGTATTATTTGTATATTTCCAAGGAAAAATTGAAAATATACAAATAATGATAAACGATGTTGAGACTGAGAAAATCAGAGGATAAATGGAACAGTCTGAATCTAAGCTGTGAAATCGATACATTAAGCTGAAAAAAAGAACATTAAAGAGCACAATGAAAATAATGCAATGAGAAATTTCAAGTTGAAAATGAAATACAAAATAGAGGCCATAAATTCAACCCAAAGGGAGGAACCCATTTCCCCAGCACAGGAACGGCACAGCGACATCCATAGAGTTACATAGAGATCAATAGAGTTACATAGAGATCCAGAGTTACATTCAGAGCCACAGAGCTACATAGAGTTTCTTAGAGTTGCAGAGATCCATAGTCACATCGGGACTCATAGACTCAGGCTTTATTATTTCAGCTGCTAAGGCCCCGTATAGTCAAGCAGCTCTGTTGCCACAATGACCACGGCCCCAAGACCGTGCGGCAGTGGCTGCGGTTACCGGACATCATCGCAGGGTGGAGTACCGTAAATCTGCAACCAACCAGAGCAGCGGCAACAACAACAGCAGATTATTTACACGAAACCCACTGACTACACTGCTCACTACAGATAGTGCTTACACAGATTAATGAACAACAGTGTCAAAAATTCGTATCGCAGACGTTTGCGTAAACAAACCGTGTGCACAGCCTCAGACGTAACGGAGCTGGGCTCCAGCGTTCAAAGCAAAAGTGGTGGTGCTGAGTCCTGCAGGCAGACTTTAACATACGCAGCTAGAGAAGGCACATGTGGAATATTGAGGTTGGTCATGAGGACATCCACAATGTGGGTGCAGTGCCAGACGATGCCCTGGAAGCAGAGTTCTCAATCTAGCAACGGTCACCAGGCAATCAGAGGTCCACCTACGGTTTCTTGGATTGTGTAATGGGTGAAGAGAGAACATCCGTTTAGATACTGACCTGATTTAGATTTAGTACAGGTCTCTGCTCAACATTGGCAAGGTTAGATTAGTTTAAAGCTTGAGAGAAAGCTCACAATGATGAACCGAAAGATAAAGAGGATTTAGTTTATCGGAGAGTGAAGAGATTCTGTAGGTTACATCGCAAAAATCACACAGGTCAGCGTGGGTTGGTGAATGGGGGCCCAGGGACTGGTTCAGATATCACTCACTACTGAAATACACAGGTAACACACCAGCAGGGAACTCACTCTGAAAGTAATCAAACGTAAATATGAACATATGAATAGACTCGGCAGCAGGCTGACATGAGTGATTTCTTTGCGCTCTGTAGTTTATAGTCTATAGCGACTGGTGCATGCTTGTTTGTGCGTGTTTGTGCAAGCGTGTCTCTTTGTGTGTGCGTGTTTGCGCATGTTTGTGCGTGTCTGTGGGCGTGTGTATGCATGTATTTGTGGGTGCGTATTTGTGCATGCGGGGGTGTGTGTGTTTACCTGTGCGCATCTGTACGTGTATGTGTGTGCGTGCGTGTTTGTGCGTGCGTGTTTGTGCATGCGTGTGTGTGCGTGTATGTGCGTGCACGTGCATGCGTTCTCACAGGGTATGGGTTACCTCCACCACAAGGGCATCGTGCACAAGGATCTCAAGTCCAAGAACGTCTTCTATGACAATGGCAAGGTCATCATCACCGACTTTGGACTCTTCAGCATTTCCGGCGTCGTTCAAGATGGCAGGTGCGAGCTTCGCACATGGGCCAATGTGTGCCGGATTCATGCTTTTTGTCCGGGAGCCCTCGGACACTGAGTTGGCGCAGTTTTTTTTACTGGGATTTTTGCACAAACGAGCGTTACGATCGTGCTGTAAATGCGTGATCGTTGTTTTGTGATTTATATGAATTGGCGGTTACTGTTAACCCGAGCTGCCGAAGCGATCATTTCTCCCCAATCATTGTTTTTCAAATGATCTTTGAATCATTGAACTCATCGTGCAGTGCCATCAGCCGGGTACATGGTGAGTAACGGTAATATTGTTACTCGGCGAAAATGCATTTATCGTTCGAGATTAGCGGCCGTGTCTGTGCAGCACTGCGGTAAGAGTGCTTGACTCGTAATCAGACGGTTGTGAGTTCAAACCTTGGTTGGGGTTTCACTCAGCCCATCATCCCTACGGGGTATTTAAAGCAAGTACAGTTTTGTGCAGCGTTAACAGTGCCCATAAATGAAATGTGGAACTTTTCATCGCTGGCTTAGAGCTATCAAGTGAGATGAGCAGCAACCGCCAATGTTCTTATGAGAACGGAGACACCATGACTTTTTATTTTAGTTCCATCCATATGGCAGAGGTGACTCTCAGAAGTGACCCTGTGACATGCGCTTCTGCGGGCCGTTCTCTGACACGAAGCCCAGGCAGGTTCAGTATCTCGGGAAGCGATGCCGAGGGTGCACTAGAGGAAAATACAAAATATAAATGATGGCCAAACCACTTCAGTGAAGCAAGATTTGTTCACTTCTTATCACTGACTTTGGGTCGTCCAAAACCGCCTGTTCCCCCATAGCCGCAGTATTGATCCGGCACTTCCTCGAAATTCCCCCCCCTCCCCACCGTGATCCAGACACTGCGTTTCGCTTCTCACCGTCCTCCACTGACCCCCACCCCCTACCGCCACCCCCTGCTCCACCACCGCCGCCTCCCATCATCACCTCCCATCGTGCCGCCGCCACGGCGATGATCCCGCCGCCCCGTTACGGTGGCCGCGAATCTATTTCACGCTCGGCGTTGTTGAAGTTACGGCGCGGCCATGTTACGACGTTACGGCCGTGTGCGGGGATCGCGGGGGTCGGGGGGGCAGCGGGCGCGGGTCACCGCGTCACTCGAATCCAATTAACGGCGTACATGGTGACGGCCCGCTACACGGCGGCACACAGCCCTTCACTCAACGCCCGCCGCTCTCATATTAAACCGCGTAACGGCCGCCACGTGCGCCGATGGCCGTGTGTGTAGAACTGTAAAGGCGCAGCGCTTAATTGATCGCTCACGCCACTGTTGGCAGAAGGGCCTTCACGAGAAGAAGCTCAATAGGGCTTCTATGGGGGGGGGGGGGGGGGGGGGGGGTGTTTTTTACCTACTCTTCCACAACCGGCCAAACATTACAGAAGAGGTGGGAGTACCCGGGTTGTTATCTAAAGTTGCATACTCACACTAACCAGAAAACACAACAGCGCTGACTCCGTGTAGCCACGTGTACTGTAAGGTGCCTTGTCAATCCACTGCTGCATGAGGCTCTCCGTACGCCGTCCACACGGGTCGTGGGGAGTTTTTGATTTGTTCCGCCACCGCGCATCCTTTGTCATGCCACGTTCATAATTTACGCCGCTGCCAATATCCGCCGGGAGTCCCGTGATGAACGCCAAGGCAAGATTTAACGACACAGACAGCTCCATATATAAATTCCGGTGGCATGTCACTGAGGCCAGGGATTCGCGGATTTCATCCGACGTTTATGCTGGCCGGCCGGGCGTTGATTCAATACCGATGCTCGATACCAATGTCAGGGACTGGCTTCACTGTGAGCGGTGGGCAGCAGAGGGCAATGTAGAATGCATTGTACTGGACCCGAACTGTACTATTCTGGCATATCTATGCACCCTGTCTTCACCAACCCGCACTGACCAGCATGGTGAAATATGACCCAAAAACCCCCACAGCCCGACGCGGTGTGGGGAGGCCCTCAACCCAGCGGCGGTTTGACAAAGGGCCTCTGTGTCGCGACTTCACTATTCTTCACCCATTGTGCGGTCGAGTTTCCCACGCAACGTGTTGATGAGCCGTGGCTTCTCGGCGCCGTGCCGCCATCCTCTCGTGACCGCCGCAAACCCCTTCACCCTCCCGGGCAGGAGCCATCAGGAGCTGAAGCTGCCCCGGGGATGGCTGTGTTACCTGGCGCCCGAGATCATTCGCCAGCTGGCGCCGGGCACCGACCAGGACCTCCTGCCGTTCTCCAACAACACCGACGTGTTTGCTTTTGGGTGAGTGGCGCCATGTCCCTGCCCATGCCATCGCATCCACCACAACAATACCACCATCAACAAAACCCACAAACCAACAACAACACCATTAACAACACCCACAGCAACACCATCAACAACACCATCAACAATACCATCAATTCCCACAACAAAACCATTAACAACACCCACAACAACACAATTGACAACAAAGACACAATCACCCATATAGCCTAAATAGACTTTTGGGGCAAATGCTGTTCGCATGCACCTATGAAGGCTGGCACGGCACAGGAGGGGGTAGGTGGCCAGCACCATGCCAGGCCGCCTTTGTCTCCCCAGTGGCCATGTTTATACATTGCACCAGTTACTCATTTGAAGCTGAGTCGACCTAGTGGAGACCCAGGACCGGTTCAAATATTCGCCACTGTCATTGGTCGAATCCGGGTAACCGGGTTTGTAGTACAGTGTGCTAACCGCTGTGCCACTGCTCCCACAACAACACCCATGACACTCACAACAACACCCAAAACAAGATTATTGACATAGCCTGCAACAACAATAACAACATTGACAACACCTACAACAATGATAACACCACCATTAACAATGTCTACAATGCCTACAACAACACCAGCAATCCTACAACAATATTAAATAGTACAAACCACATCATAGCGGGGGTGCCGTGGTAACAGCTTGTGCCTCACAACAAGCAGCACCTGCGTTTGATTCCCGACTTGGGCGCCTTTCTGCGTGGAGTTCATATGTGCTCCCCCTGTGCCTCAAGGGTTTTCTCCGGGTTGTCCCCTTTCCTCCCATAGCTAAAAAAAAACCCATGCAATGTGGCCAGTATTGGCCACCTGCAAATTACTCAACAGGGATCTCGCAGCAGCAGCAGCAAGATCACCCCCAACTGAAAACTTGGCGGGACCGTCCTGAAAAAAGAGTCTTGAGACTCAGTGAAGTTTTCCATGGATAATAATGGTAATCATAAAAACTACCATCTGTCGTGACAGATGCCTGTTAAAGCGATGTACATTCATTGAAACGTTATTTGTAGTGATTTCTGTCTTCCTCAAGAGGCAGCTATTCAAATGGCAGACACTTAGCTAGAAATCAATTAAGGCCAATGCCATTCACTCTTGTAGAGTTCTATCAATTAATGCAATCCACTTTTAGTGATGATTATCAACAGCCACTGCAATTAACCGTCATCAAAATTGCTTAAGTAGAGCGATTCCCATTCTCTTTGCTAAAGCTAGAATAATAACGTGACCTCCTGTGCCCCCATACCCTTCCCCCCCCCCCCCGTCTTGCAGGACCATATGGTACGAGCTGCACTGTCGTGAATGGCCGTACAAGCAGCAGCCGGCAGAGTCCATTATCTGGCAGGGGGGCCGTGGGTTGAAGCCACACCTTGACAGCACTGGAATGGGGAGGGAGGCCCTGGTGAGTGGAGGCTCCATGCGTTCTAGTTAGCAGCGCGCTTCATATTTAATGGATTTCTAGTTGAGGTTCAAATGTGTTATGCATTATCTCTGTCAGACTGTATAATTGTCTGTAACGGGGAGGGGGGGGGGGCACAATAACTTGTGTAAACACAGTCCAATATGAACTAGACTTTAGCATCAAGTTGTGAAGCCATTTGGGGCTAAAACTGGCCAAATTGTTCAGAGGGTTCCAAGCAAAACTTGGCAAGACACAAGTGTAAATGCGTTTTTGCCCCGACAGCCACCCGTCCGTCGGCTTGTGTACGGTTAGCTGACTACCTCCGAGGGCAATGCGTGTGGGAGAGCCACGACACCCTCCGTGCACGCGTGATTTTTCTCTTCCCTATTTTGTGGACAGGAAATCCTGACAAGCTGCTGGGCGTTTGAGACCATCGCTCGGCCGACGTTCCCGCAGCTCATGGGCCAAATCGAGAAGCTGCCAAAGCTGAACCGGCGCCACTCGCAGCCTGGGGGAAACTTCTGGCGCGCGGGAGAGTAAGGCTTGTACGCTCGCTCTGCCCTCGCTCACTCGTATGCTCATGCACTCGCGACCTCGCACGCTAACAAACTCCCATATTTGCTCACTCACTTGCATAGTAATTCGCTCACACACTCACTCATTTGCACACTCGCTGCCACACTTTCACCCTCACTCGCGCGCTTACATGTAGACGTACAGTCAGGCCTCGACATCCGTGAGGGTTAGGTTCTTGAAAATCTGCGCGAAAGGAGAACTCGCGAATGTAGATACGATATTAATATGGGAGAAAGGGGGTTAGGATTCCGAGACCAACTGAAACATACAGGAGAACATGAAATTGTTTCATAACATTCATATTGTACTGTACACATGAATAACACCCATATACGTAATTAAATTCGACAATAGGTAATAACACAAATAATACAAAACACATTAATAAATTATACTGGAAATTTTTAAGTTTTATTTACCTTGGATAATGATGGGAGTGCGGTGATGATGATGATGATACTACTTTGCCTGGTATAGGTGCACTTGTCGCCACACTGTCCTTGATTGTCTTTTTCATTTTAAATCCAACTGCTGACTCGTTTACCAATGGGAAACACACAGTCACCACGAGCAAATCTATCCAACTCTGCTTTTTGAACTGCCTTTTACGCTTGTTCTCACTTCCTCCACTCACTTGATGTACAGGAGCTATGATTCAAGAAAAAAACACCACAAATTAGGCAAAAATTGTGCAAAAGGCACCTGAAGTGCAAAAACTTCAGCATGTGAATCACGGGACATGGGCCACAATCCACTACCGTACTGAGCAAGTACAGTAATCCTTACGAAGAAAAAATGTGCGAAAGTTAAACTGATATACTAATATAAAATTGTGAATAAATATAATTGGACTACGCTCAAGAAAAATCGGAAGATGAAGAGGTATGACTGTACAGGCAGACCTGGCTTAGCACTCAAGATGCATTCCTGGAGAAGTGAGTGCAAACCGAATCGGCGCTAAAAGGGGCCATGATACCATTGTACGTATGGGGATGCGTTCCCGACAGCATTATTTCTGTTCAGTGCATCATCTGTAAGTATTATGTACTGTACTCGCCAGTGCAGCCACCTGACGCTCACCGCCGCGACCCGCCTCATCACGTGCATTGTAACATCCAAAACATCCAAAGCGATACTTTTCTTTGACACTTTGGGCAAATTTGCAGCACTAACACTTGCTGGACTTTTTCCAGACATTACGGGTCTAAAATGCTCACAAAGATGCACAGAGATAAGACAGAGAGAGAGACCAAGGCGGAGAAAACACGTGACAGTGTGTGTGTTTTTGTTAAACTGGTGAGCGCTGCGTGGCTTGGAGAGAACTGTAATAACATCTAATAACAAACAACCGTACCGTAATAACGCTGAAATCGAATTGCGGGGGGTGAGGTGCTGGTTGGCTCAGAGCGTGGGTCTCTCTTATTGGTTGAACGAATGTAAATCAATATGGCGGCTGGTGTGTTTCCTCGCTGCTTCGTGTTCTTACTCGTTTAATATTTTTGGATTTTCGTAATTTTTCAGAGTAAAAGTTTTCCCTGGGACAAAGAGCGCAATAACGAATCGGCGTTCTACGGGGTCGCACTAAGTGAGATCTGCCTGATGTTTACATACTGCCCCGGGTACTCTTTTAAGGCTGAGTCAATCTAGGAGATGCCCAGAACCGGTTTAGATATTTGTTAACGATTTTGACTGAGCGGAATCAAACTCAGAGTGCCGGGTTTTTAGCTCACTGCAATAACCACTGCGCCACTTCTCCCCACACACACGCACACACTCTCACTGACACAGGGAAATGCGGTGCTAGCCACGCCGTCTTGCGCAGCGCCAGTCAAGTTAAATCAAGGACAAGCCCCAGATCTCTGTGCGCTCGGAGCATCGTGAGCTGTGACTGTCTTTGTGCTTGGTCATAGGGCGCCACGGTGGCTAGGAGATGTTAACTACAATGCATGAAATATAGGAGGACGTGGGTTAGATCCAGACCCTGACTCTATATTTGGAGTTTGCATGTCTCTCTCCCCGTGGTCGTATGCATTTTTTCTCCGGGTGTTCCGATTTTTTCCTTAACATTTAGAAAAATGCGTTTAGAATATTTGGCTGCTATAAATTTCCACATGATAAGCGACTTGGTTGAGCAATTATTTGTGGCCAGGTCGCTTCTGAAAAAGAGCTATATAGCCCAGTGGCCCTTGCCTGGTAAAATAAAAAAAAGTTTAATTCGTGCCGGTTTGCGGTCTAGATCTCGCGTGCAGCACAGCATGCATGCGTGAAACTTACGTGCGTGTTGTACGCATCAATTCTGCATTGTTTCATTAAAGGAAGGCGCCGCTGTGTTTCACAAACTAGTTTCACAGGAGGGGTGCATTTTTTCTGCTGTGTGCGATTCCAACTGAACAACTTTTAGGTACTTTTTAAATTGAGCAACTTGGATCGTGACTCCGGCACACAGTGGCCTACGACTCTTTTCAAATGACGTCATGTGATCTGTAACATTCACTTTGAAGCAGATTGCCCCGTAGTATTTCATGGTTAATATATGCCGTATTAATAACCTGCCGGATTCAAACCGTGAACCCCTGCAACAAGTGGCGAATGCGTTTACGCTGGGCCGCGTCACCGCCTCCATCACTGCTCCCCTTTCAAGACCGGTGCCCCCTCCCCGCAGCCGTTGTGTCTTCTATTCACTGCGCAGCAGCTTAGGGTGCAAGTTCATGCGTCGGCTGACTGAATGTACGTGCATTGTGTAGCGCACGGTGTCTACACACACACACAGAAACCCGAATTCGGTTCCCGTTCACAGCCAACACCAGTGACGCTTATTTGAATCAGCCCTGGCCCTCCCCTAGGTCGACTCAGTCTCAAATGAGTACCTGGTGTGGTGTGTAAACATCGCCACTTCGGGAACAAAGGCGGCCGGGCGTGGTGTTGGCCACCCACCTGCTCATGTGCCGTTCATTAGGATTAAGCTTAATATCTTTAATTATATTTACGAGATGTTCAGAGTTCAGAGTTTTTGAACAATCATCAAATAATACATTATTTAAATGCATGCCTACAAAGGGCAGCGTACTTCAATAGGGATTACCGTTGGTAGGGCTATTTTAATAAACACAATAGACAGGAAGGGCAAGTTCAAAGGGCTCGCATAATGTACGTTGCCTCAGTAATTCCCCCCCCTCCCCCCACAGTGTGTAAGAGCGCAGAAGGGTGGTCACCACATCAACGCCTCTATATAAAGAACAAAACAATAAGACTTCTCCACAAATCTGGCTGTCGCCTGATGAAGCTAGTTGTAATTACTGGCAAAACTTCGTACTCAGATTGTAAATGTTGTGGCTTGGCTCTCCAACACTACGTTGCGGGCAACAGGAAACAGTGCAATAAAATCCATTATTGTAGAGTACTTCTATGCTCCAGAATCTGTGCTCACCATCCTTTACCAATCTGCATTGACCACCATTACGTATGGTCGAATATCCCCTACGACTCGCATGACGCGGGGAAGCCCTCATCCAGCAGTGGATTGATGAACCACTGTGCGTGCACAAAATGCACAGTGTATTTACTACATACATCAATATTGTTAATATTAATGGTTGTGTTACAGAGAGCGCAACACCTAACTTTTAATATTTAGAATGGATCGTGGCACGCTGTAGACAGTGGGGGACGCAAGGGGAGGGGGCGATGGGGCCGATCACCTCCAACGCGAGACCCTGAATATTGGTGTTTTATTGATATTCACCAGCGAAAATACACCGAATGTTAAATAGGGCTCTATTTACAAATCTTGACATTTTGGGACCGCCATCCCCCCATGGGAGGTGTCTACATCCATCTCTGGTTTTAGATGGAATGAGGAGGAGGTTTGTGATGGGTGGGACACTTGTGCAGGGTAGAGGAGGGTGGCAGGAGGATAGGGTGAGCAACTTGGGAGGTTGAGAATAGAACGTGGTGCACAAGCGTTGCAGATGCGATCAGGAGGAGGAGGTTGTGATGGGCGGGACACGTGTGCAGGGTGGATGGAGGAGGAGTACCAGTCACCGAGACCGGCATTGGAATGGCACCCAGAGGCCCGGAACCAAGGGGAAGACCCAGATGGTGGGAGTCTGTGAGAGTGGACGTAGGAGGTCCTGCTGTCAGCTGTGCAACGGCTGAGGGCTCTAGCAGAAGGAAGGAAGTGATGGTGAGGTGTGTTGGTGTTGATCGTGATGACCTGAAACATGTATCACATTCGGCCCAGTGGCAGATTGCTCGACTGGGTCACCCATCGTCCTCATACGGTTAATAAAATTAGTACAGCTTTGTGGGAAGTCATCATTGTTCTTTGGATAGCCTGGTCCTGCCATCAAAATGTGGATTTTCCACCAGCTCAGGGTTAAAACAAGGATATGCGTTAACTTATTGGCCTTCATTTTCATGGCGAAGGTTTCAAAGACGGCGCTGGCAGGTGCAATGTACAAAGACTCATTGAAAATGTCACTGATAACCCAATGCGTCGCAACACATTCCGAGAACAAAAATAACACCGACATTGTGAATTGGTTGGGAATTGCCTCTTACTGTGATAAGGAAGATGCTGATATTTTTCCTTAAAAATAAAGTAGCTCTTGAGCTTCCAGTCAACAGCAATACTCTTGAGCCCGTGACTTTAGGGTCCGAGTTCGTGACCTGGAGCGGTCACTTATAATGCAGCAAATATACAGTGTGCACAGAGGTGCTATCCATCATCAAACAATTGCAATTAGACAGCAGTTTGAACAGCACGGTTGAAATGTTGGCAGCGTCGTCATTAAAACAATGTAAGCAAAACGCCATTCTGTCTCCGCAAATATATATTTAGTTCATCAGCCTCTTGGCTTTCCAGACCAATGTTATCCAGCAGCAGTATTTCTTTAAGCAAACAAACTGGACAAATTTCAATCTTCTGGGTCTCATCAGCAGGGTCAGCTTGTTAAAGCTGCTGGATTGC